GCATGAAGGTAGATCAATGTCTTCGCGGTTATGTAGAGTGCGAGATACATACTCTGAAGTGAATGAAATTGAGTGAGCTAGAGCACCGGGTGACTGAATTGATAGCTAGCGGAGTCATGGGGCAGCGGCAGTCAGGTAGGAATCTCAATTTGTTCAGCTCTGATTTGAAGGAGATGAAGGAGAATTTAGAATTAGAACTGTCAGTCAATTTTAGGAGGATAGTAGTAGATAGGAGCTGAGCGAGTGTGGCAATTGCCGGGTCGGCTGGCATTGCACTTGCTGGGGGCTCGCATTTCAACGAGTTTTGTTTCCGAATGTTAATTAGGAATAAAGAGTCCCAAAGTTTTGCCTTCAGAGGCTTTTTCATTAGTTAATTTCTCAATTTTCAGCTTGCAATCCTCCGCGCATTTGTGAGTTGTGTGTTTTGTCACTATGCGCGAGTTGTTTCAATTTGTCAAAGTTACCGCATCTGAAGTAGAGAGTCCAATTTGGATGTTCTGAGTGGTGCACAGTGTAACTCAAGATTTAAGCAAATTTGTATATTGGAAGCTCGATGTAGCCGGCTGAGTGTGTAATCTTGGAAAATTTCCTCCTTGAATATCAATTGCGGAGTCGCGAGCGATTTCTATAAGGACTTATTGGATGAATTTCAGGTTTCGAGTGTGATTTCACCCTGCAATGTGATGATTTCACACATAGCACTCGGAGCATCTTTTGGGAGTGACATGTGTCTAAGAAGTAAAACTTCTCAATAGACTGTTAATTCGTGACACTACTTGGTTATCTAGGGTTGTTTCTGTCCTCGTGGGATTAGATTTTTATCATTATGCTCCATTTTGATAATTGTCTGTTATTACAGGACTCCATCTCATCAAACAAGGATAATATTGAATTTTCCATCAACATGCGACATACAATGTCGTAGTCTTTTGGAAGGTTTTTCAGCGTGTAATAAACTACAACCTGATCATGGAGAACAACTTTAACTTCTTCTAGGAGTTCAGCAACATTCTTGATGTCGATAAGATGAACATCTATTGTGATTGTTTCAATTTTCCTCAACGCGAAAAACTTATCAACCAGATGAGCCTTACGAGTACCACTATGAGACTCGTATCTACGCTTTAAATACAACCAACAAGCATAAGGTTCAATATACCTCTTCAAGATTATCATCCCTGAATTTTTGGCGGTGTTATCAATATGCCCATCACTCTAGCACGAGCTTCTCTCTCCTGTAAACTAGCAGGAAAAGAGGATGGTAACATGCAAAAGTCAAAGAGTTCAGAACTCTTGAGTGCATGCTCAATTTTGAAGAACCAGACACCATAGTTGCTTGTTTCTTCGAAGTGGTATGCCTCATGAATACTTTGATCATTCCCTGACTGAGAACCAGCAATATCACCAATTCTACTGATCGGAAGAGAGTTATCCGTCGGTGCAGTTTGCAACATCATTCCATCGCCTATTCTGCCCACATTGCTAACACCATCTTCGCCTAAGACGGAAGTTCCATACATGATGGGAGGTGAGTGAAAAAACAACTTCAGAAGAATGATCGAAAAAGTCAATGTTGCAGAAAACAGAATGGAAATCTCCTGACTCTTGTCATTGACTAGGAAAGAGTACAATCCTAGATCGATTGCTCTGATACCATGTTGAACACACATTCACTGTGAGGAAGAAAAAACGTTCAATATGGCTAATGAGAGAAGAGACATTTATAGTGAAGAACACTAGGTTCTTCAAACTTCACCTTCACCCTAAACCATACAAAAGAGAAGGTTCCTAATGCGAACCTAATACTTAGAAGCTTCCTATATAATAACTACAGTAGATGTGAAGCTTCTTAACCATATAGTAGTGAAGCTTATGAAGCAGAGAGTATATTCCAACACATAGAATAAAACTAGCCTTCGAAAATCAGACTCAACCTCACGAGTCATTTGACCACCGATCATTAACCAAATTCTTCCTCAGAAACATTTCTCACCACTTTTACTACATTACAAGTGTCAACCTCGACGGCTTTGTATTGTGCTTTATGGTCAAGCATGAGTTTGTGATCACATAGACTCGTTGTCCGTACACTTGGGCGCATACAACCACGAAAACCAGTTTCGAACTGTTCGGGAATATTCGCTCGCTGATTCCAGCATTCTTCCTGTGCACATTCTTCGTTGACATGGAAATCCTGCGTCGATTACGCACGTCGTTGTGTAACACGAATTTAGATCTGAACCTCACTTAAGCCGTCGTGACTTTAGCTGGCGGCCCTCGCTCGAGCTGGGAGGTTGAACACGATGTGGGGCTTTGACTTTCAGGGAATTCCGACCTTTGTGACCGCAACATCATCTTCTGGTGGCCGTCAAAAGCGGGTTCAAAAGTTCTAATGGCCATTTAATGAATCATGGATTCAAATGATGAGCAAAGTTGGGTTCAGTTTCTCGGAGTCCAACCTCTACGCTTGAGACATGTTCTACTGCACGCTTCAATGCAGAAATCGATCGTCCTAGCTTGAGATGCGGCTCTCTACAAGACGACGACCACCACCACTCTGTTCAGATGTTTTCATAATGCAACAAGGAAATCATTCTGGAAATCGACCTGTTACTCTACCAGGCTTGCTTCTAGTTTTGATGACTTCAACAAACTCCAGCATTTTCTCCACTCCCAACCTTCATTATGGGCAATTATGAAGTACTGCAGTTCACTTTCAACATTTGACTTGCGATTCGGTGCCTTGATCTGAAAACATCGTCTTCGTGTGGGTTTTCTTCCGCACTAGTTATTTTTGCCTCCAGTTACTCGTATCCAGGTTGCAACCTGTGCGGAACTGGGACCCCATGACTTTGAATTGTGCCCAGGCCACCTTTGGTTGCCAGCAAACGTTTCTGCTGATCGCTGGCGACTGTATGCTCTCGTGGATTAACCTTGCATTAAAAATAACTTTGATACCACTTTCCATGGTCACGCAAGTAATAATTTTACAGTTTATACTTGCTGGAATGGGGGTAGAGGGAGCACTAATGAAAGAGATAACAGATGAAGGCTGCATATGTAGTGCGTGCTCAACGAGTATTAGTCGCTGTAAATGCGAACATGTTTACAATTCTTGAAAGTCCACTTCAAGGTTTCGGAGACTAGAGTAACGAATTGGTCAGAATCTTTCTCAAAACCGGAGGAAATTTCTGAAATGTTTCTTATCCCAAACCAGAGACGGCTCTATACGCAGAATTTCAACAAGGAAGCCGGAGAGGTACTGTTGGAAAAGGTGCAAGAAGAATTCGGGGTTCTGTTATTCTTTGCTTCCACGGATTGCTTACATAGAACCAAAAAAAGAAGAGGATAGCAAAGGTTGGAGTGTGCTATGCTCTCAAACCAGATTTCTTCCGCAATGTCCTTGGTTTCAAGATCTTTAGATCGTCAACAATTAGCTCGAAAAGAAGTTGTTGTTTCGGTGATCCAACATATGCTGCTCGAATAAAAAATTCTTTGCGTCATAGACTCGATCAGTCAAAGCAGATTGTGCAAAACGCAGTGACTGCAATTGCGCGACTTTTGGATAGCCTGCGATGTATGAAGAAGTGAATTCTGTAGGAAGTCATAAAATCAAACGTGAAAACTAAGTCTCACTTGCTCGGATTAGGACATTCAGGAAGTTGCGCAATGAAATTTACGTAACGTTTTACCATACTATTGTGGCTTGTAGGTCCTGATTACTCAGGCTAGATACAGCAAGAGTGGCCCGGGTGTAACTGTCAGGGCTTTAGTTTATCCATGTTGAAAAATGTTGTCAATCAAAAACCATCTAAAGACTACATTGAGTGACGACGATATGCTGATTTCATACAAATCATTCGTTGGTCTCGCATAGCAGTTCATGGAAGAATGAGGAATTTATTAAGAGTTTTTGAACGCCATAAAAGCAGCAACTTGCCAAGTACAGGGCAAGGTATAGACCGGCAGAAGTTATTTAGTCTTCTCATCAATTTGTCTCGACAAAACTGAGCCTGAAATACTCTCAGACTAAAGGATGAGTCAAGGCCAAGTTTTAAAACTAACTGCGAGTCACGAAACCCACGAGACGCGTGAAGCAGTAATCCGGAAAGGTATCACTCTTCTATAGATACAGCTGCGCCGCCCAGGAAAAAAGTATAAAATCAGTGTATATACTCGACCATAACCACCGTCCCACGATGACATCCTTAAACGATGATACTGTGGAAGAGTCCTCAGATTATGCATACCCACCCTGGTAACAAGTGTGCATCGTACAACATTCACGTGAACGAGCTACTGTGACTTACAACTTGGAGAAATCTGCGCTCAAGTGCAGTCGAAGATTCTTGAACGTCTTCAATTATCCATGATCAGTATCAAGCAATGAATGAGTCTTTCTGCAGTGCAGTCCTTTGGTTTGCTGATTTCTTAAAATCATGGTTTTTTCACTCTACCAAATCAACCGAACATATCATGTGTCTGTCTATCTATAATAATCTATAATTTAAAATCTATCAAAGGTTTATATATGTGCACAATGTGCAACTGGCTTTTTATCCACCTTCTCAGTTTCAACCGCTAACTTTAGATTCAAGGAAGCTCTGAAGAGCCATTTACAAAAACAGGTATAGATTCTCCAAGTCGGAAGCTAAAAAGAATTCAAATTAATTCAGATCCTCTTGTTTACAACTATTTGGAAAATCTACATTAACCTGGTTTCGTATGTATTCGTAATTAAATCAAATTCATAGAGTTTGCTCAATCCTGCTGCGTATCCCCTTCTGTCGAGGAGCTCGTGGGAAAGCACAGTAATGGCTGAATTGGAAGTGGGTCCATGGATTTCTGTAGAATGAGCCTCTTGTGAGGAAAGCAACGCATTTGCAGAAATTATTTCATGCTCTCGATTCTCGTGTCCCCGTCAAATCTGTATGCAAGAAGATCATCCCAGCCCAGGAGTATATAAGGGCACCTTCAAAAACTAATCTTCGTGGTCTGTATCCATCTTTGTCTGTAAGCCAGTCGGCGCTTCCCTGGTCTTGTTTTTTGAGATCCTTAACGTGGAGCGGCCTAGTTCGATATCTCCTCAAGTCGAGGTTCTTTCAGAAAGGGCATTCGATCATCCCAACATCACACTCCACTTCGAGCTTTCGGACGTATTACTTGATGTAAGAACATCAAGTTTTCATTTGCTTGAATTGCCAGTTAGAGGTCGGCCACAAATTGAGCTCAGAAGTTCCCTGAATGAGACTTTCGAGCTTTCGATTTCTTCTGAGGATTACATTATGGAATTCAGTCTGATTTTCGTCCACTCTTTTGCTCATGCATCAGGCGCATACCTTAGGATTCTGAAGCACAGGGTTTTTAGAACGACAATTCGCCTATATAGGATCCTATCTCTAGCAGGTTGCACTAACGAAAGTTCTCAATATCTTGTACATGTTGCTCTTGCTCTGTATGGTCTGTGTATTGAAATTGTCTGAGCTACAGACGTGGAAAGATAGCGATGTCTTATTCTGCGCCTCCCGTGAAGTTCACCGATCAAGGCACCAAGGTATCACTTTAGAATGATGATTGAGTGTTTACTCGCAGATTACATGACATTGCATCAGTTAATATGACTCACAACTCACATGAGAAATCTCCGTATGACCTTCTCATATCAACATCTTGAATCTCAGTATATATAGCAACAGAGCTTGTTTTCAACTGCACTTGTCCAACTATCTTGGTTTGAAGAATAAGATTACATCATGTCAAAAGTAAAAGGCTTGATTTGCGGTTTGATATAACAAACAAGATGTAAAATGGTATATTTTCAACCCTTATCCTATAGCATGAATCGATGTCAAGTTCATTAATAGGTCTCCTTATGCAGTTATTTTCCTCACTATACACAAAAGAGCCATTCTCTTGACTATACACAATTTCCGTGTAGGTTGTACTCGACAACGGAATCGTCAAAGTTACAATATCGAAGCCCGCAGGTCTCGTAACCGGTATCAGCTATGGAGGAATTGACAACGTCCTCGAGACCCTTGAAAGCGAAACAAGTCGAGGGTACGTAAACTATAAGTTGCCACGAAAAATCTGAGAAATTATGCCAACAACACTAACATATGTTTGGTACGTATATTTCAGATACTGGGATATGAACTGGAGCGAAACAGATGGAAAAGACATCTTCACTGTGTAAGATCCTCTTTTTAGTTCAAGTAGCTAGTATTAATGTTAGATGATGCTTCTCTCTCTACTCTTCTGTTACATTTATCCCGGACAGTCTTAGATACCTTTATCATTTACAGTTGAGCTGATCACTAAAGCTCACTTCTCCGAGTATTGGTCACTGCAGACCATTTGGAGCCGAATTCAAGTTGATCTACTCGGATGCTGATAAGGTTGAAGTTTCATTCTTCCGGCCATTTGACCCCAATCGTGTTCCACCCATGACACCGTTCACTATCGACAAAAGGTACCTGTGAAAGCTCCACTTGTGGCCTAAGCTATTCTGTACAATTCCCTTTGATACGATCCTATGGAAGTTCTGAATATGTGAAGCTGAATGAAAGCACTAAAATCAGGGAGCAAAACCTTCTCTTGAAACTCTACGCAATCTTTATTCAAAGTAGAAGTCAAATGTTCTTCTCAAATCGCCTAGGCAACAACATTTGTTTACCACTAAATGTCCACCATTCTACTAACATCCGAGGCAAATGTGCTCTCAGATTTGCCATGCTACGTGGATCTTCGGGCTTCTATTCATATGGTATATATGACCGGCAGGCCGGATGGCGAGATTTCAACTTGAATCAAACCCGAATCGTGTTCATGCTTCGCAAGGACAAGTATGCCACATTTGGATAAAATGCTAACTGTTCCTTCTCTCTTTTACTGCATGCGAAGAGTGATCTTACACTGACAGGATGACCGTTGATTCTGGAAAAGAGGTTATTATAACATATGAAGGTTGTGTTGGAGAAATGGTAGCTTGAATGGACATCACAACATGTCCCTCCTGAGTTCCAGCCAGAGAGAGATATTAGGGAAGCGTAGCAGACTTAGTTACAAGAAGGTAAAAGTACTTATGTAGAAAAATTTTCTGCAGATTTAACTATATGGCCCTGGATGACAAGAAGCTCAGGCTCATGCCTTCTCCTGATGACTTATCTCCTGAGCGAAGCCAACAGCTGGCGTACAAAGAAGCCCATCTTCTTACTGACCCGATCGAGCCTTCGTTAAAAGGGGAGGTAAATAAGTGATTCCAACTTTCAAACACTTTCTACGTGCAAGAATAACTGAATGATTCAATGTCTAAAGGGTCCAGCGGCAAGCCCAAAAAGGGCGACATGACCATGAGACATCTATGTATAGAGCAGAGTTTCGAATGTCGGGATGTTGTTCCACCTAAATTTCTCACACTGTCTGATGCAGGTCGATGACAAATATATGTATTCTTGTGACAACAAGGACAACAAAGTCCACGGATGGATGTCTGAAGCGGACATGGTTGGATTCTGGATGATCACACCCAGTAACGAGTTCAGGAACGGAGGTCCCACGAAGCAGGATCTAACATCCCACACTGGCCCTGCATGTCTATCTGTAAGATTTTTATCAGTTTTGTCTCCACGTTCATCGTTGTACAGAGTGCTTCTGATGATACTTTCGTTGCATATTGTGCCTCAAACATATTGAAAATAACAATCGTTCTGTTGCATCATCACAGATGTTTCACAGTGCACATTACGCCGGTATTGAGTTATGTCCTCAATTTCGAAATGGAGAAGCTTGGCGGAAGGTCTTCGGTCCAGTGTTTATATACCTCAACTCAAAGCCTGGGGGAACTGATGTGCGCGCTCTATGGGATGATGCAGAACAGAGAGTAAACACCTACAACAAATTTCCGGTTTTTTTATATCGATACATTATTTGTGGATATATGTTTCAGACCGCAATGAACCACGTCCGCTTCCACGTTCGACTTCTTCTGGTTAATTATTGATATCTTGGATGAACTGCCTTGCATTTGAAGAGGAGAAGACCGTATTGATGCTCTAGAATCTATCCATCATACTTACTTGCCCAGATGCAATCGTCGTTGGGTTCAGATGCTTGCTGAAGTGAACGCTTGGCCGTATACATGGCCCTCCTCTCCAGATTTTGCCAAGGCGAAAGACAGAGGTCAAGTGTCAGGACGGCTTCTTGTTCGTGACAAGTGAGTCATACGGATATCAGAAGTCTCAAAGATAGTATGCTTTTGCAATATGCTGGAGAAGACCGTCTATTTTAGATTACGCGATGATGTATATCAGCAAATATTATACAGGATTCCTCAAAATCAGAGCTTACTTCCTGGACTGATTTCACAGCACATCCAATGAGAAAATTGCAGGTATGCTTCGCCAGACAAACTGCGTTCGGGCACAGAAGCATTTATAGGGCTGGCGATGCCTGGAGAAAAAGGATCATGGCAAAAGGAAAGCAAGGTGAGGATGCTAACTAAAAGATATATTGGAACATCAATATTTCGAGTTGTCAGGTTTTCTGTTGTTATCTTTGCGGTTCCTCGCTCTCTATCCAATAACCCCTCGAGGATTTTCCCGGACTTTACATTATACTCACGCTGTGACATGGTGTAAGGATTAACCGATATCGGGATCTGATCTCGCACAACATGTCCTCGTGTAACCAGGGCTACCAGTTCTGGACCCAAGCTGACAAGAAGGGATACTTCACCATTAAAAATGTTCGTGCGGGAACGTACGATCTGTACGGCTGGGTGCCAGGAACTGTCGGAGACTACATCCGAGAAGGCGATCCAATCACTGTCAAAGCAGGTCCGCTTCGGACTTCGGTTCGGCCAAATTGATTTCGTGTTCAGCATAAACTTGTTTCTAGAGTTTAAAACTCCGTCTAACTTCTGCCAAAACTTATTGCACATTCTAGAATGCATAAAATTCGCTGAGGAGCTCCTCCCAGCTTCAAGCTCGTTCTGCTGAGTGATTGATCGAGCGAGCGAGATTTCCTGCTTGTTGCGCGCAGGTGATGACCTCCAATTGGGCGGTCTGACGTTCGAGGCTCCAAGATATGGACCGACTGTTTGGGAAATCGGATACCCTGATCGGATCGGTTCCGGCTACATTCCCGACCCAAATCCGCTCTACCCGAACAGGCTGTTCGTGAATTTCGAGAAGTGAGTTTATCGCTCCGATGTCGAACTTTCATTCACCATTCGGATTGTCCTTAGAAAGCTGCCGAGGAACCTCAGTCCAGCTCGGCTTGCTCGGTCGACTGCTTAGTCGATCTGTCGAGAAGGCATTGGCTTAATTGATGTGTGGATCTGACGTGGAGCAGGTATCGCAATTACGGACTCTGGGCTAGGTACGCCGAGCTGTACCCGACATCCGATCTGGTGTACACGGTGGGAGTGAGCGACTGGACCAAGGACTGGTACTTTGCACACGTGGCGCGGTAAGAGATCGTTCTTCTAGTCGATCTGAGTGTGATTGAACTCGACCGAATGTGCAGATTCAGGATCTGTTCCCGTGTGCTTGTGTCCGCAACCATTGATCCGTGTAAGTGGTTCTGCCTTCTTCCACTGGCAGGAGGAACGCCGCCGATGGAACGTACAAACCCACGACTTGGCAGATCAAGTTCAGCCTTCCCTACTTCGACGCGAGTCTCGGTGCCTACAAGCTGCGCATATCGATCGCCACGTCAAATCAAGCCCAAGTCCAGGTCTCTGTCTATTCAAGTCGATGTCAGTTTCAGAATGTGTTTGACCTTTCGATTCGGGCAGATTTTGTATGCCCTGACCTAGACAAGTAGCCTTTCTAAATTGGCGGATTGCCTCGATGCAGGTGAAGGTCAATGATCCGGCGTCGTCGGTTGTCTTCGACACAGGGCTGATCGGCAGAGATAATACTCTTGCACGGCACGGCATCCATGGCATCTACATGCTCTTCGAAGCGGATATTCCAGCAACCAGCCTCGTCAAAGGAGACAACACCATCTATCTCACTCAGAGGAGAAATGCGGGTCCATTCAACGGACTTATGTACGATTACTTGCGCCTGGAAGCGCCACCGAGTTAGATCTTTCTATAATTCCCCTGGATCCGAAATACTCTTGGCATTCTTCCCGATTCAAGTACTTTATTTACGTTCCTACATGGCGAACGGGTTCTACCACATTGATCAGTAATATCATAGGGGCATGGACTATAGCGAACAGTTGCCCAAGTTCTTCTGTGTTTTCGCATTTGGGTTAGAGGGCTTGTGAATAGAGTAGCCCTTGAATAATATCCCCGAAAAAAAATCTAGTGGAACTTTTACCTTTTTGTAAGATCTTCTTGAACATTCCTATGGAAATAAATCAGGACTTTTCTGGTTAAATGATATGAGGGAGTGACACACTTCTGTTTTCATACTATGCAAATTCTTCTCGTGCCTGAAGTTCACTGTTTACCTGGAGTGTTATGGTGTCTTCAATATACAGCAAAAGATAATAAGAAGCGCCTAAAAACATCCCAAGTGCTTCTAATGTGGAGACTAATATACTTCTTAGAAAAGCTCCTGCTGAAATAAGAAATCGCCAAAAGAAAGCCTTAGGAACGGGTAAACTGAGGTTGGCTGTAAATGTATTGAAAAGCTTGTGCTTTGTAAGTCATTTCTTAACATTGTTATGAATATTTTCCTCCATTGATCTATATTCTGATTTTATCATACATACCATTTGAGAATGAATTTGAATGTGTTTCCATTTCCTCAGTTTCTATCAAACAAATGTATCATTTTCTCCCGAATGGATCTGTATCAAGTCATGAGTCATAAATGCAACTCTGAATAACTACTGAAGTAGAATTCTTCTATCTAACGAAGTACGTTGCTAAATACTGAAAATACTCCAAACTTGCAGTCAGAACTTGAACGTATACTGAACCTCATGAGGTAAATTTACTTTGTATCAATATCTTCTGCAACATTTTGCATTTAGATTGACATGTTTGTGTTTGTTTTCAATAAACACAAAATGTGCAATATTTTGGACACTTGGTCTATCACCTTGGATATCTCGCCTGTTTGTAATCGCATATCTTGACCAAACTCCTTTGCTGCTCTGAAAACAATACTTTTTGAATCGAATAGAAGATAAATGTATTGAACTGAAGAATAGAAGACAATTATGTGCATTTTCTTCTTCTCTGCAACATTGATGATAATCTAAGAGCATCTTTCTGCAAATTTGACGGGTTTATACAAGCACACCAGCCCAGTTGTAAGTGGCGTTGTTGTAACGAGCGAGTGTTCTACGAGTTGTAGACAACTGCAAGCCTTAAGGTAAACTTCAAGTTTCCATCGGAGATAAACCCCAGGAGGACTTGACAGCGTTCTTCCTTTTTTCGGTGAGAACATTACAACTCTACGGATACTATAAGTATTCACATCTTCTTTTGACTGAACTTATATAAGACTGTTCTTACATCCATGTCACACCCATGTTGAAGACAATTGAGTTCTCTCTTCATACTTACTGTATCACGCTTCTTATAGGGTGGTCTCAAAAACTACATGTTGTGTAGAACACCACACGCTATATACTTTTTGCAGCTGATAACCATGTTCTGGGGCCATAGTTTCATGGGGCCTGACCAGTCAGAGCACCTAATCACGTCCTGAAATGTATATCCGATCGATATAAGGTGAGAATTTGATTGAAGCGATTCCTGTACAATTCGTCATTTACTTCTTTCATTCTCATGACAGTACATTATCTATAGCTTAAGCTATAGGTCAAATAAATGTCCGAACTAGTGATCTGTACATATTAAACCCGAGTATTATACATAGAGTATAATACAGTATAATACAGGGCTTCAAAAGTCCATCTGTATTTTACTGTATTAAATCGACTTGAATTTTCCGAAGACTGTGAATGATTTTTACTTCAGAATTTCTACTGATCTTGGCCCTATTCCTCTTCTCCGTCCCTTCCCTTCGATTCTTTCTCTTACTACATTGCTAAGTACCTCTAGAATTCTTCCTGGTAGAAACAAATCATCTCATAAGACGGTCATTGTACTTTTCAACATCTGCTGGTAGAAAAAGAAGGTAAATCACTGACTTTGCCATCCCACAGCGCAGTATAGAAGTTTCTGGTTATTTTTTGAGCAGAAAATCCTCGTAATCTAAGTCCAAAGGAAATATTGTCATAAACAGTCATATGTTTAAAAAGTGCATAATGTTGTAAACACTATGACGAGCAACCATATTGATTTTACTTGTTTCCATGACTCTACTCTTCTTTGTGGTGCTTGTGAGGGTAGACACATGTCGACATCAAAGGATTAAACGGAGAAATGTAACATCTCAGCCGTTAGATCCCTGTACAGAGTCAATTTTGTATAATACAGTATTAAACTCACCAAATTTCGAAGTTGAGTATTATACATAAATCTAGTCCGAACACATGTACTATTAATATGGGAATCAATAAAGAAAGATGCTCGTCGCGTAAACCACGAGCCACAAACTGATTGTCATTAGGCTTTCCAGTGACCAGACAAACGGACGTAAAATCCATCACCTTGCTTCTGTTGGTGAGCCGTGAAAGGGGCATCAGATTATCCAGAGAACATGGTGGGCCCATACATTGGCATGCTACACTGTCGTATCGCACCCTTCAGTGGTTAGCTCCGTATCACCAGTCCCAAGTACTAGGCTCTCACAGTCCCCACCCATGTTTACGATCTTCCATACCTGATCCATAAGAGATTTTTTATCAGACGCACTGGAGTTCCGAGTGTATTTGGTGAGTAGTTTTCTGGGTTTGGATAGTAACGGAATGTGCTTCCGAAAGATATTTCGTTGGAACAGTTTAATGTTTAACTCATGATGGGGTATTGTATTTTTCACATTTTGAGATTTTAGTCAATATCCATCGTCATGCAGAAACAAGAAACTATATGCTGCAGATTTATTGGTACCCAACCACATGATTGTAAATAGTCTAAAGTGATTCTAATCAAATTTGCGGCTGGTGTTTTGTAAGAGTGTAGCTCACCTTGCAGACCCATCGCTTTGCATGCGGTGGGCACGGCCATCGATGCCTCGCACCTTTATCCTCCACTTTCTCTCATACGAAGATGGTGGAATCATGGATAAGCAACTGTTAAGCTGAAATTTATCTTACATTTTTGTATCGTGTGTCAATCATTTGAGATCAGCTTTCGATCAAGCTCATGTACGGGAATCTACATACCCCCGTCTCCTCCACAACAGAAAGTTACTATTACTTCTCTTCCATGACCCTCAGCAGATGAGCTGATCCGAACGTGGCAATTTCTCCCGATTGAGATGAACCTAAATTAGTAATAATGATTATTTCTAATTTAGAGAATGAGAATAACCGAAACTTAGGCTGAGATGTCTATTGTGAGAAACTAGGAGTACTCATAGTTGAGTACAAATCGAATCATTTCAAGTTCATGGTTGATACGTATAACGATATGTGGACACTTCAAGCGATGCACTGAGTTGACTGGTGCTTCTTATGCCCAATTTGAAAGGGTAATCTACATCAATTGGAAGAGTTTCGTACCATTCCCACATCGATTGTTGCATTGTGACGGACACAGCTGATATGGTGGCTGAATAAGGGATGCATAGAGGCTTTCCCAACAACCATAACAGAACTCGGAACAGCCACGAATTATCTCTGTTCCCAGAATAGAAGTAAGGAGTCATAATCCTGTAATCTACTCAGAATAATAGAAAGTACACCTTCCATCAGATTAGCCAGACAATGGCGTGAGCAGTTCAAGTGGTCTTCGACGAAACAAAGCATTCCTATATCTCTTTCGTTGACCCGTAAGCCAGTTTTCATGGTTGTTGATTGGAAATCTCTACCAGTTTTGCCATGCTAGTAGATTTGGAATGGAAAATTAGAATTTCCTTCGTACTTGATCAGCAGATAAGTTCGAGTTAGCGGAATCAGATCTGCTTAGACGAGGAAGAAAGTCATTCCATAGCAATTTGGCCAAATAGTAACCCATGGTGAAGAAACTAGTGAAGACCAGTAAGAGGGGAAGGGCATAAGCCGTCAGAAAATGAACATAGCTGATGATCATGTTTCCTCCAACGAAATTAGAACACTGCCTTTTCTAGCTGCAATAGTGGCTACAGCAACTCAGAAGATTATGAAATGAATGCATTGTGCTGCGAGCAACAGCTAATCCTGCACATCATCATGTTACGAAAAATATTGTTAATTCATCAGTCATTGACCAGACAGTACTTGACTTTAGCGACAGGCTACAAGCAATCGTCAACCATAATTTTTGTTGGAAAGTTGACAATGCTCAATGAAGGGTATCTTCGACGTACCATCATGTTATGAGAAAATTCCACTGAATGTCTGGTACAGTCCACCAATAGCCATCAAGGTTCACGTCACGTAATAGCAAGGTTCCAGCAATGCACTGCATTCTCTGTTCTAGAGTCTGAGTTCCATGAAGACCAATGGGCTCTTACAATGGCTAGCGCGTTGCTGGTCTACAGGAAAAATCAACTTCAGAGGTTCTAAATCTGACTAGACGGCACTTTCTCACACACGCAACCTTTTCAATATCATGGGTCAAGTAGCATACTAACAAGAACCATCTGCACATGTATTGTACATTCCAATAACGGCGGATGTTTAACAGTCTCATTTTATTTTTAAAAACTCAACGGTACATCAGCCGCTCCCAACTTTTCTGTAACCTCTTATCGTGTTCTGGAGTTTATACTTGTCCTCTCAAGCACAACAGGGCAAAATGACTATGTTGATAATAATTTTCTGAAGATAATTCTACATAATCTAATTGCAATTACAAATATTCTACTCGCTACCAGGCAGTCACGACTCATGAATTCCACCGGCATGGAGAATGACGTCTTGTGCTGACGTAGAAACCTCCCCCAAATGACTATGGAAACTTCTGCTTCGTCCTGTTTCGTCAAAACTTCATGTTGGAAACGTGGACATTGTAACCGCGTATGATGTGGGCATTTCCATCATCATAAGTGAGACGATAAAAATTAAGTCAGGTATTCAAAGGCATGGATTCAGAGATCTGTTGGCCAACTTGCGTAGTTGCTTGTTGGAAAAAAAAGAAAAAATTTTCTCCAACAAGCAACTATGCAAGTTGACAATGAGAGACTGTTCACCATTATCTTCAGTGACCTCATTTTCAGAAAGATAAGAAAGAAAATTGCAAGCTTAAAAGCCTTTACTACTTAATGGAACACCTAATTGTTTGGGTTCGTCACGTGCGGAACCATCGACACTGAAAGTACATCTTGAAGTATCATCTATTGCTATCTACAACATCTTTATCATACGATCCACTTTTGCCTCTTGCACTTTTAGAGTCAAAGATCCTCAAAAAAGGTATTAGGCTTGATGACTCAAAGAGTATCTGGATCTCAGATAAAGTACTAGGTGACTATTTACAGATTCTAAAAGCATTGTAAGCGAGATTGTCTCCTGATATTGGCATCTTTAAGTTGTGCCAGAATAATTAGACACTATCGCCTCCTCAGGATCTGAGAGCTTCTGCCTAAAACCAGCAACTCCCCACCATCATCGTTGTTGATGAGTTACTGAAAAGCGATGTCGATATTCCCGAGGTTCTCTCCAGACTCATACTCATGTTCGCTGGAACAGAACTTCACTTCAGATTCTCCATTGACATTGACCTCTAGAAATGTGTCACTGGAAGTTCTAATCATGAATTTCACATCCTCGAGTCTCAGAGCTTATACCTTAAAGCCGCAACAACACCCGCCCTCCATCTTCAACGTTTGTGACAAGTAACTTGAAACATTGTCAGCATCATGTGAGAATCTGTCCATGTTTATGCTGGAACAGAACTTCAATTCAGATTTATCTCTTGGCATTTGCCTTCTAAAATTGTGGAGGTAAGATTAGACCACATCACAACCTTAGAGTCTGAGAACCTTAACCGAAAATCAGCACCTTCCCACCATGGAAGTTGTTGACGAGTAACTTGTAACAATGTCAAATTCATCAGAGAAACTCCGATACTCATGCTGGCCGGATTGAAAACTTCAGTTTCTTCAGCACGTGACCTCATATTTTATATGTAACATTACGGAAAAGAGAGATTGCCCTCTGAGGGTCGTGCTGCTTGTAGTAAGACCCATATCCTTGGGGCCTGGGCACCATTTGCAGCTACAGAAGCTACCTCAGCTACCGGAACAGGAGGTAGAACTGCCGGGTGGGCGCGATAGAAACGTGCCAAATCAAGGCACATGGCGTAAAATATAGAACATACTGCCAGAAAGAAGACAAGAGCCACCAGCACATACATCGTAATGGTCTCATCGTTCAACATTGTGAAAGATCTTCGAGATGAAGTATCGAGCGTGCTCCGTACAAAGTCACACTTGAAGGGCACTTCCCCGTCCTGGACGATCGAACAGCGAAAAGCCCGTATCAAATCCACCAGATTTCCGAGTCGACCTTGCTGGGCTTTAGATCGAATCTACCCAACTTGAAGTCGTTGGCTACAGCAAAATCGGGTGCGCTGCTTCCGAACAGTTCGACAACAATTTCCGAGCAAAAATGATCTCTACTCACGAATATCGAAAGCTCGTTGCTGAGGGTCTGGAATCGGAAACCAACTCTGGAAGCGAAGGGCGAAGGCGCGTGTGACAAGATTGCAGCGCTGAAATGAAAATGCTCGCTCCGAGGCTGCGGGTTTTCTTATCCGCTGTGGCAGGTGGCAATCAATCTCCGAACGAGAGAAGCGTGAACGGCAGAATTCAAGATTCAAAACATCCGAAAAAGTTCAAAAAGTTTAAAAGTTTTGTTTCAAAAGTTCAAGAACCCTTTTGACTGCGAGACTCGTTCTCATGCACCGATTTGAATAGCTTGTGGATCGGCAATTCAAATTCGGAACTTAAGTTTCCCATCTCGATTGAAGGCAAAAGTTCCTTGCTTCCAAGATTAAAGCTTTTACCGGTTACTCACTCTGTTGTCTCGCGCCGTACTGGGTTCGTAGTCTCATGTGCATTTCTCATTGTTAAGGGCTACGTGGTTGTTCTTTCTACGGTGATCTTCGGTCTTGGCCATCTGTTCTTTAGCGATACAAAACATCCCATGCACGTACAGAGCATTTCGGCTTGCCTTTGGAACTAAGCAGGAACTCTCATAAACTCACATAAGCCATCCGGCTTATGAGAGTTTATGAGAGTTCCTGCTTCGCTTGACGTAAACTTGTTCGTAGCAATTGGCTCTCGCATTATCAGTAAAGTTTGGCGTTTTGGCTGGACAGAACTCAGGAAGCTCTATCTCCACAAAACCACGAGGTTTGCGGCCTTCGATTTTCCGTGCGCATTTGGATCTTTTATTGGCTATGTAAGAGCACATTTTAACACACGCAGTTAGTGCTCACCTGCCGTGAGGGCTTACATTACGGTGAACTTAGCTTATCTTTAAGATTGAAATCACAACTTTAGATCTTTCGACAATTCACACGCACTCATTCATTCACATTCTTTATGCCACGGACTTGCTCATATAACGTTCCTAGACTACCTATCTAAGAGAGAATGATAATAGCTTTCGTTCGATAATTTGAGATGAAGCACGTAGATTAGGGCAATCAATTTCATATAAACAAGGCATCCAACACAATGTTGGAGGTAGAAAATACACTTGTTCATTCTCATGTCTTTTTCAGCTAATGATTTTTTGGCAATGGACATGTATCATGGAAGGAAATGAAGATGTCTTGATAGGTTTTGCTAAAACAAAGCTGAAGGTAAATGTGAATAACTTTTAAGAGTATTTTGATTACTTCATGACACTTTTATCTAATGATTACTACAAAATAACATGTAGAGTAGCTTTGGATTGAATAAAAGTGATAATATATTTATAAATTAAGTAGCAGAATTCATTTCATAAATATCTTCTTTTTTCCTGTTTCGCTTTCATAAACATCCTTCAAACATCCTTCAATCTAAAACCAAAGTTGGCTTGTCATACCAACGTAAATGTAAGAATATCTGGCTATCTTAAAGATCAAAATGCATCAATTGCACTTGTTTATTTAGGCGCGTATTTAAGATTTTATCTGAATATTATAAATTCAGATATAATATATTCATATTATATCTCATAAATCTGTTATTATTCATTTGAAATCACTAGAGTAAATTTTTTTTTTACATATATATATATCTATGTAGATTTTTCAATTTATTTTAAGGATTTTTTGAAAGAAGCTTGATTTCATTATCGAATTTCAAATTCAAAATTTGAAGTTTCAAATTTATAAATCATTAATAAAAAATTTAATAATTTTTCAATAATTTTTATCATAAATTTAGAAAAGGATTCATGATTAAATTTCAAATATATGTATATTTCATAATAAAAGAATTAAAATTAAAATTTTATTTATTAAATAATCGATCAAAGGATCAAGTTCTTTGCTCAGTCAGTCACAAGCATAGATTGATCGGATTGGTGAAAATCCCTAAACACAACTTGAGCTAATGAGTCATTAGCTCAAGTGTGTTTAGACAGTAATTTTAAAAAATTATTTTATATTATATAGTTTTGAGAAATGACCAGGAAAATGCAATCAATGTTACAAATATTGAATCCTTTATTTGAGAGATATAAAAATAAAGTATAGATTGGCACTGATTCTTATATCACAAAACACTTAAAAATCTAAGGAATTTATATGCTGTCAGATTATAGAGCATTAGATTTAGAATAAATAGTTATTTTAAACTAACCAAAGTCTTCATGGTATTTAGCTTCTGAAAAATTTATGGTATTTACTTGGGTTTGATAATCACAATTTAGATATTTAAAATTTATAAAAATTGATATAATCTAGTATATCCATGATACATCAATATCCATTTTATTATTTAAAATATAATTTGCAGAAAATTTAACACATCTTTTTCTCAAACCTTAATATTAAATAGAAATTTCTATTCTAAATATTTGATGAAATTCCTACGGTAAATTAAGCCATCATTGAAGTTTAGAATCCTGAGAGCTCAAATTGTGGTTGAATTATTTTTCATCTTGCCTTATGGTATAAAATTATACGACAAATGATCATATATTAGATGAAAACAATACATATAAAAATCATATGTTGATCATAAATTGATTTACAATTGGCCTATCTGAAAAGTTATGATATTTTTAATCCATATCATTTATCATCTTCATTTTAATCAGATACAATCCACTCTGAATTTGTTAGTTTATCAACTAACAAATTCAGGCCCAAAATGGTTGGTACACGAAATATCACATTTAGAAAATTCCGACCATCTTCAGTTGCAAGATTGGCAATGGTCCTACGATCGGGCAGTATTGAGGACGATTTGTACATTCCATGTGATTTACCTCATATGATCAATCATGATCAACGTTCATATAATTTCCAATTTGGCGACTGAAGTTGATTGGAATTTTAATAATGTGATATTTTGGGTACTATTGGCACGTTGTTCACCGATTTTGGCACTTTGGTTTTGGTTGTTAGGACAGATGAAATTTTCGTACAGTGATTGGACTGAACGAAGTTGACTCTAAGATACAAATAATGGCTTTGGAAGGAAAAAACTGTAATGATATTTAGGTTCGGCCACTTATCGGTCGAAGCTTACTCTGATCCATACGGGCTGACAAAATATCACTATCCCTCTTTTTCCTTCCAGTTCCTGCGGGAGATGCTGATATTTGCGTGCTTCAAATTTGGCGTTTGTGATACAAATCAATCAGCTTTAGTAAACTCGTGTTCCGTTCAGGTCAATCAAACGCATAGAAGATGAGAAGGTGATAGGACGCAACTTCTTCATTCGGAATTCACATCGAGAGTACATTCACTTCACTTTCCGACGAAGCTTTCCTAACAAATGTCTATAAACTAAAACTGTCTCGTAACCGTGGACAAACGAACGAGCAAAAAGTGGCAGAAAAGTTCACCGTTCAAGCAGAGATACGATTTATACAATCAGTGTCCACAAAGCTTCTTCTGGTACACACTGAGATATCATCTCAAAGCTTCCTACGAGTGAGTGAGATTATGCCACAGAATTGAGAATTTCTTTTGAAACCGGGACCAAAGTACATTTGTTGAAGATGCATGATTTCTCTGAGAGGTGACAGCTCAAACGTAGGACAAACATCAGTCACTGGGGTATATGTACAGATGTGACAAGCGAGAAAAGCCTGCAGCAAACGAGCAGAGTCAGTTATACAAACCATCCCTTACTCCAGAGCCGTGTTTAACTATGTATATGGCTTGTGATGAGGAGACAAGGCTGCTAAGCGGTGAACAACTGCTGGATTCTGTCAGGTTATCACTCCAGCATCCGATCAACATCCATGGTCTGGACAGGAAACGAAGTTGGAGGATGAATGATAGGTCCGTGGTCACAATCTGCGGCCCGATGAGTGAACTTCTCGCACCTGTAGCACTTGACCAGATTTTCGCACTCAGACTCCGGGTGGGAGAACTCGCCGCATCTTTGACATCTGAGGGTCAGATCCTCGTACTCGATGTGCACCACCTCGGTGAACCCTCTGCCCAATGGTATTCTAACGTAGGGAACAGCCCCAGTTCGGAATAAGCAAGTTTCCAACAGGACTCTGATAGTAAACACGCCGTCTACAGTCGTCTCCTCCTGCTGAAGAACTTCGCCAATGGGTGCCAGAATCTTCGGTAATATTATCTGCGCGACTTTGGACATGTGCTGCAGGGAGACCCACATTAACTCCTTGATCGGCTGCTCATGGGGTTTGTCTGGGTCGAAATCCGGGATGTAAGGGCTCACAGCTGCATAGCGGTCCATGAGGAAAATTGGACTCAGAGACAGCATTCTATCCTGTTCTTCACAAGAGAAACAGTTCACCAAGAGGAAGTCATTCTCCAGGACAGCTTCCAGTTCCGCCTTGATGTCGAAGTTGAAGTACAAACTCATGAACCATTGCTGTAGCTCGTGGATCGCTGGTTGGTAGCCAGGCTCGAATTTCAGGACCACAAACTGATGACTGTATTTGTCGAGCTCCGACTTGCGGTAGTTTTCTGAGTTCACTATGCGAAATGGCTCGTTGCACTGTTTCACGTTTTCGCAAAGTGCTTGTACGGTGCAGCCGGGGATCCACTTATGTCCTCCCCACCTTCTAATGCGATTGCAGGACGGATCATTGCAGGTCTGATGCGGGTCTCGGAACCCGTACGGCAGCTTGAGGCGACCCAGATCCCTAGGAAAGCCACAAGACATCTCCTCAATCCACCTCGTAGCTGCACACAATACCACGCGGACCAAGTATAAGAACTTCAGAACAGTAGTGTCGCCCGACGTCCAGGATTTGTCCAGTCCGTTGATACGAGAAGCGAGAGAAACAGTCTTTGGTTTACAACATAGAATCCCTCTTCAGTAAGGCCTACTCAGATTACTGGATCTCTTCGCGTGTGTTGACTTCCTTGACGTATGGGAATCAGACTACCGACGGAGCAGGTAGGAAAGAAAACATACTGTCTGACGTCTAAACTGAATACTTCAGCGTGTTCGACTCAAGAGTTCCTACTTCAAGGACGCGGAAGGCACAAGTTCTACTCTACACGAGAACAGCAAGCAGTACTACTGACTGACTCGAGAACAACGACAGAGGAATGCTCTGCTAGGACTGGCACAGCTCACAACTACGGAATTCGACGTGATACAGTTTGTGCAGATAAGTAAACAACCTTCAGACAGACCAAATTTCAGCGCATACGCGGCTGCTATAAGAGTCGCTTACTACTCGGCTGATCAATGTGTGATCGAATGCAGGATCACGACCAGCAGACGCGAACTTCTTCTTCGAATTGAAACAATACTCATAGACGGGCTCTATCGACATTCGCCGACTGACCAACCGAGCGCGGACTTCACCGAATATAAGGAACTGCTCAGAGGTCCACGCACTCTTTTCGATCGAAACGAGTGCTGTGGGAGATCGACTGCAAGAAGATGTGTGTTCAATCTCCGAAATCAATGAATCAGACGAACATTTTCTTCAGATCACTCGCTGTCAGAGAGCTCTTCTAGCAACATCACGTCGCACGCCTACCAGGTGAAAATAGCACTGCTGAGCTGAGTTATGACAATAAACTAGTCCGTTTCCAGTATAGCAACCTGCATTGAATTACCCAAGCTATAGAATCTAAATGTGGGTAGGGCAGCTACGGCTTAGGCCACCCTCCAGATCTAAATCCTTGTCCTGGCTCGTCACATACATCCGGCAGATTCCGGCGATGTTTTATGGGCCAAATATAGCTCAGTACAGTCTGTGTACGCATCTTACACGCCTGAACCAAAACAGGTTTTTGAACAAATGCACTTTAGAGTCCTTAAAGGCTCGCAGCACAGGTGTAGCATTCTATTTGTTCGCTTTGCGCCCCAAAACTCGTGCTTTCCTCTTCTCGTGTAGATGGAAATTCCGTCTTTATGTCCATGCTTAAGCCTTCTTGGAATGTGACGGCTCCTCGAGATGAAGAGAATTAATCATATGAAGACGGCCTTCAGATTCCCGCCGGGGCAGACATAAGTGATGTAAGAAGTTCTTAAAGACCTGTAGCTTGAAAAAATTTTAAAAACCCAGTGCGTTCATCGTTGGTCATAACGGTTTGTGTAGGTCAGAGAAGCTGGACCTATGGCAAGTTTCAGACATGATGCGTGACCATCAGAGAGGTTGTCCTATGCAGCGCTACACTAAACGATTTCACGTAACAAACCTGGGACCGTCTTGCCATTTGATTCGGCTGCTGACATAGGACCTGGTGAGTGGATCCTATTGCTGCTGCTGTCCCGCAGATGGCACCGAAGCAATAGACTGGACTGGAGAAGCAACCTTCGAAGGAAGTCTTGCATTTGTGCAAAGATGTTTCGTTTTAGCGTCTCGAATTGTCCACACAAGCAGCCGCCCTAACGAGGGGTAAATGAGGTTATTTCCTTTTCTTCTCTTCTCTGTTCATTTTCAACCGTTCATTCGAAAAGTAATCGTGGCTCAGGTGGCTCACACTCCGTACTCGCTCTCGCTTATAAATACGTATTAATGAGCAATCTTTAGACATTGTCAGAGAATGTAATGTGCAGGGCTATGAACGCAAACACTTTTGTACTTTACGATACTGTAACCGGACGAATAGCAATTTGCTCTTGCTCTTTCTCTTTTTCTTGATACAATGACATCCAACAGGCAACCTCATCACTTACCAGGTTCCGGATCTCATCTCCAACAGCTTCATCCTTTGCTCTGCTCGGGCAGTCCTTTCTAATGCTCGTATATCAAAGATGAAGAAATCCAGTGAGTTCGTGATTGGCTAAATGACTCTTGTCATCCTGGAAAAGCTCGTAGTTCGTAGAAAGTAGACACTTTTCACTGTGAGTTGCAGGGTTAAGGTCCAGTTGAAGCACGTACTGTGTGATGAGAAGACTTTTTGATCGTTAGAGGTGTGCAACATAGTATTATCATTTCGATGAATAGATTTTGTGCAATGTGTGAGACATGAATGTATTTTGATACATGCAGTATGGTGTGAGAATTAAATGGTGCTTATTTCACGAGGGTTAATTGATTCTTATTTCTCAAGACAAGTAAGTGTGTTTGGGATATCATGAAGTCATTTCGTCACAACTATGGATGTCAGTCTAAAGCAATCAAGAGTGGAAATAATGAGAAACCAACGACTGCTTATGGCAAAAACCTTCTTTTGTTCGATACGAGAGTCTATACATACATATGATTTTCTTTCCATTTTGAAGCTTGGTACAAAGCTTCGAAAATGGGGATTAAAATTAGTATTTTGAATTGAGAGTTAGCATGGATAGAACAATATGTTGAAGACGAAATCAGAGTTGTATGACTGGGAAATAATCAGAGTTTGAGGCTTACACAAGACATATGAAAGACATATTATCAAAAATATTATCATACATATTATCGAAATTTAGTAAAAGTTTTAATAAAACATAAAGAATTGTATATCATTAAAAAATACATTTTTTCTACATTCCATGCAAAAAGTATTTGAAAGATTGAATGTTTCACGTTAGCATCTTCATTAGAAAATCATGATCAAAAACAAAATATTGATAATATATTAAGATGATATAATTTAAAGACTAACAACTTAAAAATTTCTTCATATAACGTGAACTGAATGAAAATATTTTGGGTCCATATTTTATCTGAAATTACTGAAATATCTGAAATTTATTGATAAATACTTAAGATCCAAGTTTTCTAGACGAGATTTTTATTTTATATTCTCTCAAATATTTGTATCCGTTCAAAGAAAATGAATACTTGAATATTTCAAATAAATGTTTTATCAAATATTTATTTTAAAACAAGAAACAATATTAAAATATAAATAGACGAGAAAATTTATTCAAGAAATCTGAAAAAAATTACTTCTATTCTTAAGATTATACCAATTTAATTATATTTTTTCCCAAGAAACATTTGAATCATTTTTTTAAAATCAAAATTTGTTTCATTTTTTGCATTGGTATAAATTTTAAATTATATGTTTGGTCATTCGGATAAAAATGACCCTACATAAGGATGATGTTATTTTAATGATGGATTTCATATTGTCTTGCTATAAAATAAATCTATATTCTTACCGGTTAACCAAGAATTATAAACAGTAATCAAAAGTTTAAACAGGAATGTAAAGATGTTCATCCACCAAGTACTAAGTTCACGGGCATGGAATCCACACACGCGTATATTGATCTAAGAACTCATTTTGTTATAGAATCAACTGGGGTTTATACACCCTAGGTACAACGGTTGCTAGTTAAATTTTGCTAGCCAAAGCTTAACTCGTAACAGACAAATTAATCTCTGGCTTGCTATGAGTTAACGGGAACGATGTCCCCCTTAACTCATGTTCCGAGTCTAATGTGAAAAGACACCAAACTTGCACCAACACACAATTAAATACATGCTTCATCCGATCTTGGGCTATGTCCATTGAAACAAAAAAGTGTTTAAATCCAAGGTGTTAACAAGTGTGTTTTGTTGTTCTATCCATACTTGTAATTATATATAAGTATACTGTTTTGAGTTTAGGATTTTCCAAACCCTTGACCCAAAACTCTATACAGAGCAGCAGTTAACCCTTAATAGAGTTGAGGTTAATTCTAGTCCTACTTTACACTTCAATTACTCCTAACAATCTTTCCCTTAATTCGTATCGAAAGGATTTGTTATCTTCTTAATCTATATAATTTCTCCTGGAATATACTAGAAAGAAATCTATCAAAAAGCGAACCTTTAAATTAGAGCTAACTGGAACTAAATTGTACCCAAAAACATGATAGTGAAAAAACATGGAGAGTTAACTTAAAATGCTTGTGAACTCTAGTTTTGTTTCTCATGAAAACTCGCATAGTAGCACAATGTTGTCTAAAAGTTTTCAAAAAAATGAACACAATAGTTGGATTGAAATTACTTTTAATCTTTACCAACTCAATTGATTTATCAAAAACTGCTTTTTTGATAAAATCATATTAATGTGCTTCACTCAGATGTCCATAATCTGGTTTGCGGCTAGATGTAGAGCACTTTGGCTTTTACAATGAAGATTGATCACATCATGTTTCAATCTCATCTCCATGATAAGCATGTCTAACCAAATAGTTTTTTTTGTCGCTTTTGTTACCATCATGTATTCAGCTTTCGTTATACACTGAGCTATGCAAAGTAGAATTCCAACTAATGATTCCATCACCAAGTATAAACACATACCAAGCTATAAATCTACTCTTGTTCAAATACTTTCCACAGTCAGCATCAACGTAGCCCAACAAGCATTTGGCATTGTTTGATAAACCATCAAAAAAAAAATTATAATCCAAATACTCTTCAAATATTTCAGAATTTATTTCATTGCTTCGAAGTAAATCTTCTCTAAATTTGACATGTAAATGTTCACCTTGTTCATCGATACAGCAATATAAAGCCTAGTGCACAGCATTAAATACATGAGTCTGCCAAGAACTTGTTCATAAGCAACATCAGATATTTTTACTTTTTCAATGATATTGATAGGATACTTAATTGCGAAAAGATTAAAATTCACTGTCAAAGTAATCCACACTGCTTTAGAATCAACGATATCGAACTTGTCAAGTATATGATGAACATACTTGTCCTAACTCAATCATAAAGTATTTTTTTCAAAATTCCTATAAATATTTGTTTAATATTATCTTTGACTTTCCTATATTATTCATTTTAAATGTAAATTTCAATCGATTCTTTCATTTATCAACGTATAATAAAGAAAATATATTATGATTAAAAAATAGTGTGAGATATATGGATTTGTTTGATGAACAAAAGTAGAAATTAATCAATAGACTCAAAATCTTACTTTGTATGTAGATTTTTTGAATGAAATCAACTATGATATAAAGAGCAATGAACTGAATATTTATTTAAACTTCAAATGATGCAATGTGGTTGAATGGATATCAATCTGATTGTTGAAGTGGTGCATATACTCTTATATACTTAAATAAGTTTGACAACAATAACTATTGATCAAGATGCAAGCTTTAATTTTAAATAGAATTGAGGAGTGGATAATAAATTCCTTCGTATGTAGTACATTTAAAGCTTAAATTATATATATTGATTTATAGGTTTTTTAAGTTGAAATTTTAGTCAAAATCTTAAAATGAGATAAATCAAAACATGATGTGAAGATGAAAACATTTGAATTGAGAAAAATAATGAATTTCATATATTACCTTTTTATATTTGGTTATTTATCAAGCTTTGAAAAATATTATTTTTATTCTTACTTTTTATCAAGTACATTCAAGTGAATTAGTTATCATAACTATATATTTATCAATAGAGTGAGTATATTTATGACATCATTTGACGAGCAACAGCAGATAAATGTATTTTTTTTATTACTTGTACTTCATATCCACTCTCAATTTTGTCGAGCCCCATAAGTTACAGTATTCACTCTTCTCACCGCATCTAGAGCACAAAATTTACTATCTCATCAAATGGCATGTTTGTAGTTCATATGAGAAGAGAGTGAAGGCAAATATGTAAGATCATAAGAAAGTTTACAGGAGAACAGCACACTATTGTATCTAGAGGATGCAATCATTCGGTTAGATTTAAAGGTAATATTTTCTTATTTACTTATAGTAGAATGATGAGTTTCTTCGTAATCACTATGACATGTTAGTCGCGAGTGACTATCATTGAATAATGGATGAGGATTTTATCATGTTTTGAATTAGAAAAGCTTGAGACCAGATTTTAAAAAGATTTCTAAAATTCTACTACATGAATATATCAGGTTTAGTATTTTCTTGCGTATGACACATTTCATGATGACCTCCGTATAAAAACTTTAGAGATTGTGTGAGCGAATTCTGTTGTGTGAAGTGTAAATATGTACACAAGATATCAGAAGCGTAACTCAATGGCCGTCAAACAGACATACAAAATGTACAGAAAATGCTTGATAACATTAAGTTAGAAGTGCGGTTGGAATTTTTTTGCTCCAGTTAAAAAGTCTTCCCATGGCCATCACATTCCTGCGGAGTGGCGTGATTCAGACTCTTCGTGAGCACTCCATTGCTATTATCAAGGGTTTTCGCTTCGCTCCGCGCTTTCCACCAGGGCAAGGAACTTACAGAAGTCAGAATCTTGCCCCCGCTTTATGACCAATTACGATCAAGGCTGTTAATAATATTGCGTATCAGAAAGGTAGGCGATTTTGCGAGATATTTAATTTATTACAGGTGCATTGGGTTGAGTGGGGATGCAGATTCCATTTGAATAGTTTCTAGTGGAAATCTTGGATCTACCTTTATTTTCCTGGAATAATTGAAGCCTCTGCGTGACTGTGCCATCTTTCCTGGACAAGACTAGGTGCAAAATTGTCAACCTAATTACAGCTTATTGAGCAGAATGCCTGCTGTTGTCCTGCTGGTTCTGTTGGTATCACTTCAGGTTCTTTATTGGAGTATACAACTCACCCATGGAAGACCATTCGCCCTTTCCAAAGCTCCGCTAGGACAGGTTGATTACGCCAAGAGTGACACACTATGAAAGATAAAGCTTCTCAAATAACTGAAATTGTAAACTAAACTGGAGGAGCGTAGTCATTTTCGTAGAAGTGTTCCCTGACTTTGTCTAGAGCTCTTCTTCGGTGTGAAATTTTATTCTTATCTTCCTTCTTCATCTCTGCAAATCTGTACTCATGAAAATTCAAACAACCAGCTTAGAAATCGCCTCCTTACGCGCACAGTCGCAACTTTAAAAAAGATAAAGCATGAGTAAACAGAAGTGATTAGTTCTAGCCTCGCATAGCTTACGTGCTTGATACAAGGAATTTAACAAAGGTAGAGTATGCGTACGTCAGGTCATATCCATCTGGTTGAAAGACAGGGTCCCATCCAAAATCACCCGGACCTCTGGCTGGAACAATTTTTCCCTGTTTCCCCAATATATTCGTATTTGGCATCAGAAGAAAATGTGACACAGAAACTCCATGGAAACAAATAAGAGTTGCAGATTACACATAACATTATGCATAAAGGTTGCATGGAGCGTTGTATCTACCAGCTGCAGGGCATCCCAGACAACAAGCCACACTTCGTAAGACCAAATCTGGCACCATGTTGACGTCTAATAGAGCGCATATGCAAGCAAGGTCTTCCGTTTTATAAACTTGGGACTCGTACTAATATTTCTCCTCCATTACTACAATCAACATCTACGATGAAAATGGTTTTAAATAAACTCTACCTCAGTTCGTCCACTGAAAGTAAGAGGCTCCGCGTCAGGTCCAAGGGCCAGCGAAAATACGCATAGTGCGTACGCCGACTTGTCCTCGTACGCAGCGAGTAGATTGTTCAGCCCTGACGACGTCAAATCGTCAATCGTAAGTTATGTTAAAGGCACTGTTTCTAGATTCAATTCTATGACAATAAATAACTTAATGACAGAACAGAATATCAGGTGCTAGAGCTCCAGACAATCGAAGACAGCATCGACAGGTTGCATCAAACGACTGCCCGAACTAGCACAACAATCAATTACAGACTTTCAACATAAACACTGTCATTCAGTATTCCACAAGAATCACACGCAGAGCATCGATGAAAATGTATATCCTCGCATTACCTTCATGGCCAGTCTTTTGCAAGAACCACTTTCTGTGTCACAATAAGAGAAGAAATGAACAAAGTTATATCAACGTCGGCTGTGGTTACAACAATTATGTAAATTCTTCAACCAATGAAAGAGGATCCAACATTAAAATTTATATCTAACCCTTATCCAAAGTTATCTGAAACAGGATACAAGGGAAAAGAGGATAAGAGAAAAGCCTGTTTACTAGAGATTACCTGTATACATAAAGGCACGCGTGAATGATTATTACAGGTAGAGATGCATAGGTTCAAAGGATAACACCGGTTTTGTTTCCTAAGAGGGTTCTATAAACTCACAATTCCCCTCCAATATACTGCACTGACACTCAGGTGCTCCATTCCTTTTCTCAGTAACTCAAACATCTGATGCTCCGATATCAGGTTGCAATGCTTACACATAAGGACCTGTCAAGAAAAGGTATCACAAGACATTAAACACAGCTGAAACCACCTGAATGACAACCTTTGAAGAAAAGCTCTTCTGTATACAAGCAAATTGTGGTTAAGACGCCTAGGAATTGCCTAAGGACTGAAGCAGCAGTATGTCAAGACATGTACTAAAAACCTTTACTTAGGAGAATACGAGAGCAAATACGTCCGAGGGAGAAAATAGCCAGGATTCCAACACTAAAAGCCGAAGAGCCGAAGAAATGCACCTGGAAGACCTTTCAAGGCGTTGAAGCAAAGACAGGTATCTTCAACCAGCACCGGGCCGTTTACCTTTGACAGGCCATAAATATGCATTGTACACAAATTTGGTCAGATACCGTGAAATAGGGTTTTAGTCTCCGAAATTGAATAACTACTCGATTACGTTAATGGAAGAGTTGAAGATTTTCGCTGCGCATGACCAGATGGAAATGCAAATGCTTACCTCTTTTGCTGCCAGTCGACATTTCTCCTTCGATATATCTTCCGGTTCCCCTTGTAATTCGGGAACTGAATCATCAAGGCCGCGCATAAGTACTTAAGTCATTACTCCTTCAAGGGTTTATAGAACACACTGCTTCAAAGTATAAGGTGGCCAATCCAAAGCAAACATTACGGCTTATGTGCAGGCTGGTATATAACACCATCAGTGTACTGCTCAGTCTACATGCATAAGAAACGCTTCCAAAGTCTTGGTATCTACTAACTGAAGGTCATCCATGCGTGTCACAGAAATGTCTCATCTGCCTTAAGAAAAGTAAACTCGATGAGGAGTCCCTTTGATGTATTTATCCAAGCCCTAGGTAGGCTCATAACCTGGTTCGGTTGAGAGAAATATCTATGAGCGGTCTGGCTGACTACAGCATGACTGTAGATCTGAGCAAATGTGGGCACGAACATTCGCTTGAGAAGAATTGAGAGTTTTGAAGAAAAATTAGAGTGAAATGCGGAGTTTAAGACTTCTTCAACAACCAACCGTGACATTAAAGCGGCGATCTGATTGACCTGGGAACTAAAAAAGTGGACTGAAAATTTAACTGCCCAAATTTTTTTGCCAAAGAACCGGCCAAGAGATTTCCCAAAGAAGTAATGCTGTAACTCTGAAGACCACCTTCTATTCCACCAGTAAACGTCCTAGCAACCCTGTTCGAAAGTACAGGACGATCAGTCTGTTCAAAGGTCGAAGGCGTATATTGAAAAACGTGATTCCGGTTTGATGCAGCGAGAAATGAACTTACGATCCAATTTAACAGACCGGAACGGAATTGTCTGGCCAAGAATCATCTTCACTTCCTCGAGCTTGTTGGCATTCCCAGTGACGAAGGTGACAGGGCTGGAAAGCTGCATCCTAACGCCCATGGCTGACATCGAGCGGAGCACCCAAACCGTCCGTCCTCCAATTCGAGCGAACAGAAATTTTCACAATAGGTCTTCGCAGCAGCTGATCAGCCTGCAATCTTCGCAGCACGGAACACGAAGGAGTACATGAATTCAGACACGAACACAGCAGTGAAGGAGAAGGAGAAGGAGAAAGTCGGTGGAGCTGGAACTGTGAACGAAAGTGCTCTTTTGTTTCATCATGGACTAACGACCGAACGAACTTACATACTTACACACGATACTGTATGGTGTTCAGTACAGTACGTGGGTTGATGTGTTTGTGTGTCTTACGCCTCGTCACGTGCAGTAGACACGACAAATCTGCTGCAGCGTTCCCCACGCCCTGCATCCAGCGGCTTTTGTGCCACTATGCGTTTGTGCTTTCTTCGACGTCTGCCTCTGAGTCCAGAATCTCCAATCGGGATGCACAGAAATAGAGAGATAGATCGTCAGAATATTTGATATGCGGTATTGCATATTTCCGGTCCAATAATTTCCGGTGGTTTCTTCCCTGTGAGACTGGACGAATTGTTCCCTACTTTGGTCATTTTCATGTCTTCGCTCTGCTCTGTATGGAGACATACGCTCGGTTCCTGGTTTTACCACACCTCTCTGCTCTATCTTGTATTGTTCTCCTTTGAGAGTTCACCTTATCTTTCTTCAAGAGGACGATCGGTGGAATTTCTAGCCATGTTCAAGTGCATGGGTTTTTTTTTTTTGATGTTCTCCATGAGCATATTCGATGTCTACTGCTTTTTAGGGCTTGTCGATAACGAGGCGTGCCACGGAAATAGTATTCGGGTGTAACGAGTTTCTCCAATAGTATGATGTACTTAGTACTTATGACAAATTTCATACGTTTATATATCGTATCTCGTCGTGAATCACTGCCAAAACAATCTGATAGCTGCTGCAGTTAAGATCCTAGAAATACAGAATTGCATGCATCCAGGACAATCTTAAACTTGAAAGTATTTGTTTTTGTTACCTAGCATACGTAGTAAAGGCGGTACTTGTTGCATAATGAAGCACGCATTTCAGCGTCCGAGAAATATTGATATTTGGAAGATGTAGCAAATTTGAATTCTTGAACAGTTAATGGGCACAATGACAGCAGAAAATTGAGAACTGAGTAGGTGTTTCGTGCAGTGATTTATTTGCAAATGAATAAATTTGATTATATTAGGGGTTCTCTAATCAGAGTCATACAACAAAACAACCGGAACGGAATCCTTCCCATGAAACTCAACAGGTTTGGCACGTACATGTTCTGTGGATCCACAAGGTTTTCTTAACGCGAAAATCCAGTCTTAAATTTTTCTTCTCAAATCTCAATACTTGGACGATTCAACAACGATTCTGCGAAAAGGTTAATATGCCAGGTGAAAAAGTCCCCTACAATGTTATCCTCTTATCACGTTTAGCACTGTTCTGGGTCAGCCATTAAGGGATATGTAAGTTTTCTAAACCCCCTACTATCACAAAGATTAAGATAAATCTTATATTTGTAAAAGAATAATGCAATCAAGATTGGAAAAACGTCATTTATGCTCTAATTTTTATTAGATTGATGCAATTTCTTTTTTATTGCGTACCATGAAACGAGGTACGAAATCTTATACATCCTTCTCTCTAGAGCCCGTGCTCATTTTGAGGAAATCCGTTTAAAACAAAAATCCATCCCACTCATCAGAATATCTTCTTGCTAATATGAATCTTTACAGAGAGAAGTATATCATAGGATTGTCCATATACAAACTCTAAAATATTTCTAAGATCAACTACTAAAATGGATTTGAAAATATTTTGGCATTTTCATCAGGAAAAAAAATACTTACTATATCTCAAACTAAACATAATTTGCTTTTTGTATAATGAAGAATTGGAAAATCTTCAAACCACATTGTGTCTTAATGAAATATTACGTAATTGACAAGGTGAACCTATTATAATCAGATCAGAATATAAATTATAAACATATGATTAAATCAGAATAAGATGATGAAATATTTTGATTGAATCAAATATACTGAAACATTAGATTCAATATTTTTTTTGAATGATAATTTTTTATTGAAACATATATATATATATATATATAGAAGAAGTATTGTCAATTCAAGAAGTTCCAAAAACAAATTCAATTTAAATTATACTGTTCCTACTTTAATTATAAATTTTGTTTATATTAAAATTTTAATGTACAAAAATTTTTACTGTCATGTGTTTGAAATTTAATTTTCAGTTTTCATTGTGTAAATAAAATATTCATGAATAAAGGTTTAAGCACAATTTCTTCGAAAATTTGAAACATTTTGTTCAAATTTTCAACAATATATGCACTAAAAAGTTAAAATTGTCTACTTGTAATGCATGTATTTTTAATAAAAATATGAAGAAAAAAAGTATAAATAATTTATAAGGGAATATTTTCATTTAGATATTATTTTTAATCAGCATGACTTTAAATTTCTATCCTAAATTCCAGTCATTAATATATGATGTGTCTATTTTAATTTGCATAATACATTATAAAAAATAAATTTAAAGATGATTTTTAAGGGTTTAGGGAATTGCACATATAGTTTGTTTTGTTGGACTCTTTTATCAAGATTTAGGATAAAAAAAAAATTATGTATTTGAAATTTTCATCTGTATTCTTACATAAAATTAAAAACTTCTACTAGCTAACATTACATTTGAGTAGTAGTCTAACCTAAAATTACAAAGATCTAAATGTAATTCGAATTAAATGTAACTGCACATGGAATGAACATCTATATTATTAAATAATTAATTTAACTTCTAATTTTATGATCTGCAAATTTTTAAAATAGTTAAAATTTAGTAATACTTTCAATTATAAGTTAGTTTTTTGAATTGAAATCTTCAACAAGAAAATAAACATAATTAAATTTTTAATGAAAAAAAAATTCAAATAAATCAGGTTGATTTCTCTTCCAAATTTTCATTAAAATAGATTGATATTATGATTGTATATTGCTGCACAATGCTCCGTTGACTACATCTTTCATAATAATTTTAATTGTATGCAAATCATACAAATTTCAAAAATTTTTGTTGGGAAAATGTTCATTAATGTCACAATAATTAAAACTTATTAACCCAAAAAATCAAAATTTACTTTGATTTTTCCACAAATTTGATATATTTCAAACAAAAATAAGTATCATATGTCTCATCACATGATGTAATTGATTTCAAATAAATTAATCATCTAGTGCTTGTTTATTAAAAGTATTGTAAATGTTTTGTGTAAAGTAAGGTAGAAAGTTTGATATACAAAGTATTACTTTCCAAGATCGTCACCTCGTATGAATGACATATTTCATTAGTGATATCAAATTTCAAAAACTAGTAAATCTATCCAAAAATCTCAATACTGCAATAAGATCATGATGTTATTCAATACTGACAATTTCAATTATAATTTTGGAGTTTCAAACCCTATCATAATCACAAAAAAGAGCTATGAACAAGGTAAATTTGACAAATGTTTTTTTAACTTTTATCTCAATGGTTATTTATTTTAAGAAGTAATAATTACTTTGCTACATATTATATTGTCAATTGTTTGAGATATATAACTTTGTTAAATTTGTTAATATATTAATTATAATCATCATTAGTTAGTTAGAACTAAAGTAAAGTTTACTTAAGATTGAGTAGAGTAGATAATAGTGGAAAATCTATAGTGCCACGTCAACAATCCATGTACTAGTTTGTGTGTTGGTTAGAAACAACATGTCATCAATTAGTGTGCTTGTTAGGTAAAGATTGAGTGTGTTAGTTGGTCAGAATCCGTGTGCTTCTTATGTATATTTGCCAAATCATCAATACACTAGAAGTGGAATGGAGGGTGAGGATAAAATTTTATCTACTTGTACTTGTTGGTAAGAGCTATATAACTAAAAGAAGAACCATAATTGGTATCTCTTCACAATTTATGATTCCATCTTTGAATGAATTTTTTTTTAAATCCTAGTGCTATATCAACGTACAATCAGCTCTATTGAAATGAAAAAACAAGTTATTTTGAACTCATGTCAATAAAAATGATCTAAAAATAAAGTAAAATGGATTAAATCAATGGTTGTTTGATTACTTTATTTGACGATCATCAAAGGTGAGATTTCAACAACATCATCGTCATTTGAATTGCTGGCATTCTGCAAGATGTTGTGTTGTTTCACTATAGCCTCAAAAATTTTAATATTATCAAGAGCATACACTTAAATTGAATCTTTGACAACTTGTTCAATATTTGTGTTATTTAGACTCAAAGACGTTCAAAGCTTATCATTAAGTCAAATATTTTGCAAAATTTTCACTAAATCATTATAAACTTGATTTTAATGGAAGCATATTGATACAGATGTTTTTATTGAAATTACTATTGAAAACGACAATAAAAAATGACTTTGATAAAGCACTATCAAGTATTATTTTATTCAATATCATCTAATGTTGATTTGATCCAATCAATCATGTTGATCATATATGCATGATCATTAATCAAAAACTAAAAATCAAATGCATGTTCATTCCCTTGCCACATTTCATACTTGGATATTAAATGTTTGAGTTGAGAACTGTTTAAACATATTTTGAAAGACTGAATGATTTATGATCAAGATGCTCACATTCGCTGATAACATTGATGAAAAAAAAAGATGCATCAATTTTGATATAAAAAACAATTTTGATGATACAAATGTATCTTGGATTTTAGACACTCAAACATGAAATGACACACAGATTTTTCAAGACAATTGTTCATTTCATAAACAATTGTCTTGAAATATATATAATATGAAGTAATGATTACAATTTTGTTGTACTTGTGCAAGATATGCATAGATTTTATGTATTTTGCCAAGTTTTAACTTGATAATCAAAGATAATTTTGAAATTCTTATTGATATTCAAAACACGTGAACAAAATCTATTTTCTATACAATGGATGGTAAATTTTTCATCTAAAATTTATAATTTGTTCTTTGCTTTGCTAAACAGCACAATCATCTGAATTCATTGTGTATGATGTTTGTGATATTGTAAAGTCAACTTATTAATGTTAATAATACATTTGAATGGTACATTAATCATCATTTTGTGAATTGTATGCAAATGTATTTTCTTCTGAATGAAAGTAAGTCTGTTATGTTCTCATCAGCTCTTTTTTTTGCTAGATTTTGATACGCGCTTCAAATCTTTCTCAAGCCATACATTCGACGCAACGCATGTCTGGAAAAAAATTGTGTTTTAAATATTATAAACATTTGGTAAAACTTATGCAAGATCTTATTTCAAAGAAACAAAGCTTTTTTTTTGAACTCATAGCTACTTACTTTCATCGTAAGCGCATTCATCTCAACGCGCATATAATATTCATGCAGAATGTACATAAAACTTTGCAACTAATGTGATATACAATGCTTTTGGATTCATCCCAATTCAAATCCAATGCCACGTGCATGATAACTTCTCTCCTTCTCAAGATATTTGAAAGTATTGGATGTGCTGCTTGTTGACTTAGAAAGTTGAGATCCCTTAACTTTGTCTTAACGTCCAAGCGTTTAATCTTTCTTGCACTACCAGACATGTGTACAAATATCTTTATTCAAATGCAATAAGAACATCAATGTTAATGTTTCTGAACAATACAAAATAGCAAATGAAATTAATCTTGTAGCCAAACAGCACTTAAAAAACATTATGTTACTAATGTATCGTCTTATAAGAAGTATAAGCACTTTTCTTTTGTTAGTGACATCATTCAATAAGGAGGTCAATCCCTAGCACCGATGTTTGTCAATATTATACTAACCACACATATTACAAACCACACATACATGATTGAAATATAAGGTATCATAGAGTTGATATGTACCCTTGGAGTTCTAGGTTGGTGCGATGACATGCAAATGTCGCTGTATCCAAGAAGAACTCTACTGTCTGTTCTACTTCACAAAAGAAGTTGTAGATTACTTCTTCTTGAACTCTATTGGGAAATTTGTGATATGAAACTAACTCTTATCTCAACATAACCATTGAATATTTTCAATTGATGCTTGATTATTGCTTCATAAATATATATTCATTTTGGAAAAAAAACCTATTTAGTATAAGAAATAAACATATGGAATAAAAAGTCAAGACAAGTCTTGATTTGATTTCTCATTCAACTTTTATACCATCTTCATGTGATTACCAATTTCCTAATGCTCTTACATTTTCTGGTTGTGGTTGCAATCGATGTTCGTTTCATCTAGTTAATGAAGAAATGAGATTTGTTTTAAAATTCGAAAATCTTTATCAAGCACTCGTATGGACTTCTAAAATATTACAAATATTGATACTTTTTCTTTCCATCGATTTCAAACTCATGGAAATAAATATCCATTACTCACCTTCATAAACCATATACGAATCGGAATGTTAAATGCAAAACTTACACGAGGCAATTCCCGAAAACGACTAAACTGCAGACAACGTCCTCTCACTGTATTCTCATTAAAAGGATGAAAGCTTCCCTGAATATCGACCGGCAGTGAGCCTCGGCTGACTTACACAAAATGTGATGAAAATGTTTCGCCGATGCCAACAATAATCAACAACGAAAATGTCCGAGCAATAGACGTGATCCGGCACACTGTGACTGTAAAAGTATCATCGTAGTAATTATTTGTGTGTGCATGAGGGCTGCCTGTCCTCCTCACTCGCGGCAGTGGTTGTCAGAGATCCAGATCCCCGCGGGCGAGTCGAGTCGGACCCAGGGCTTATTCAAGGGATAAGACAGGGGTGACCGGAAGCAGGCGAGAGAATTGGAAAGGATAAGGAGATGGAACGATGGCGGAAGGAAGGCTTTGGACGCTCCGCTAGCTAGCCCTCGTCCGTGGCATTCAGCAGGAGTCGAACGATCCACTCTCAAAACGCGAACGCTCGGGCAGCGACGAGGACCCGGACAGACGCAGGGAGAAGCTTGCAGCTATGGCCTCGATGACAGTTTGCTGCGCGACCTCCGCGGTTGCGGCCGCCCCCGCTGCTTCTGCAGCGAGTTCTTGCACCAGCAGCAGAGCTTCCAGCGTCTCCTTCGCCAAGGGCTGCACCTTGAAGGGCGTCAAGGTTTATGGCCACAGACAGAGCATTTCCGTGGCGAATTTAGAGAAAGGGTTTAGGCGCCTTAGCGTCAGAGCAGAGGACGGTGCCGAGGTTGAGGAGGAGGCCGTCAAGCCTCATTCTGCTGGCAGCAGTCCTGGCTCCAAAAGGGTACGACTTTCTCCACTATCCGTCTAAGTTCTGACACTGGCCACACCCGGACGTGAATTGCGATGTGAAGAGCTGTAGTATTGTGGGAGCTGGAGTCGTTATTGCGATTGAAGAAAGTAAATTGTGAGCTGATTACTCTGAAATTGTTGAGTTCAGAATTCGAGTGTTGTGTTGTGGTAGTATGTAGAAACCGTGGCACTGTAAATTTTCATGGCGGTCATGCTAAAATATCGCAACTTGGGGGAGTTTGGTGAATTGCTTCAACCTAGAATTGAACGTTAAATGTCTGCATGAGAACTGTGTGCGGGCTTTTCATTTGTCAGTCTGTTATGCCGAACTTACAATATATTTCGGTATCTCAGTATTTGTACCAACGGATCAATTCGCCAAAGCCTTTCCTGACATTCGAGCCGGTTTTTTACGAAGAGCTATGTGTGAACTCGTCGCAAATCTGCCGCGTCCGGAATGCCTCATCATGATTTTGAAAGCTTTCTTTCCTGACTTAGCAGTCATGCTGCATTACATTCTTTATATTGTTCTCTCTTGTCTCATTTGAAATGTACTACGGTGTACAACCCTGAAATCATGTTCCCCTCTTTTGCAGAAAGCCCGAGTTTCAGTGAAAGCACCAAGGAGGCAAAGGGTGACTTTGAGGTTTTTGTGGTTGGAGAAAAATATCGGTATCGCCCTGGATCAGGTTGTTCCCGGCCACGGGACCATCCCCCTTAGTCCGTACTTTTTCTGGCCTAGGAAAGACGCCTGGGAGGAACTGAAGGCAAAGCTGGACAGCAAGAAGTGGATCTCTCGCAAGCGCACTATTATTCTTCTGAACCAGGCAACCGATATCATCAACTTGTGGCAGCAAAATGCTTCCAACTCACTATAGGAAAGAAAAGTTAGTCCATTCTTTAAGGTTTTATTTACTCAGTAGAGGCTCAAAGCTTTAGATGTATTTTGGTCACATCAGGATCTCCTGGCTGAGCATTTGAAGAACTACAATTTTGCAATCTTCTTGTGTATATTGTGTTAAGACACTGTTGTACAACGCATTCTACACTCATGTGACAGACATTGAGATCCTGTATGGTATGTTCTGCGTTATATTTTAAACCCAGTTGCCCGTTACTGTGGAGGTAGTTATACATTTCATGACCCAAAGGTGATTTTTCAGGAAAATGTGTAGTGGCCGGAATGTATTTGTCTGTCTCCTTGGATTCAGATTTTCATGAATAGCAGTTCGAAATTAGCTCTTATCTTAAAAATGCTCCTGAAATCAAACCCTGCAAATCTCTGAATGTATCTGGTCGAACATTGCGGACTCCTTTGCATTTGTGCTTAGGAACGTACAATGGCTTATTACTATACGAACACTGTCTGTTTGCCGATCTAGTCCGCTGAGATTTTCTGCGTGGTGTACTGCGAGGAGAATTGTCCGTTTTGGCATGATCAAGCACGATTACGAAAGACTGGAGTTTCGATCTACTGTTCCTAACTTCTCACTTGAATGCTCTTATACCTGCTTCAAAACTTGTCGCTGTCAAATAACTCGATATCTGATGTTGTGCACCTGAGGAAGTAATCATCTCACGTTGTTATTAGTAGGTTGGGAACATCTAATGTTCACTGGAATCATCTAATGCAGAGTCAAGGTGCACACAACCGTTAACCCCTGCGGATAAGCAGGGTAAGTGTGCACAGCCTCGAATGAGTTGCTGCTCGAGACCAATATGCCGAGCTCAAATGTGTGATTGATTTTTTCACTTTAATTCTATCACGTGCCCAAAACAACAAAAACAATTATCTCTTAATAAAATCTAAGAATCATGATAAATAATTCTGTAGACCACCTACGTACAATCGATGTTTGTTATTACTTTTTTGTTACGTAATTAATTTCGCCACTCATGAGCTCCATTTTCATCAAGAACAATATATGGATTAAATAAACTTCAAAATATACTCCGTTTACATATACTCTACACCAAAATGACCAACTTGAAAACATCATTATTGCTACAACAATATTTTTTTGATTTAAAATCTTTCTTTTACAAGAAGACGACAAAATTATGAATTCTTCTAACCATTTTAGTCTTTTATGTTGCACTGCGAATTTTTTTTAAATTTGATCATTTCATGACAGGAAAATTAATCGTAATCTTCTGCTAGTATTATTGCCATCATCTTTTTTCTTTTGTGCAATTTTGTTTTCAAGAGATTATAAAGATCAAGAATAGTGTGAGAATGAATGAAATAACCAAAATCTAATGATAAAAATTTACCTTATCCTCCTATGCTGTTTCCATTTGGTTCAATTGTTACTTGTCCAATTTGTTGTTCATTTATAACTCAATGCTTTTATAGTATTTACATATCAGTTACTTTTCAACGTTAGAAGTTTTGATACTTGATCACAAGTTTTATCTATATATTTATCATAGTTTGATCTCGGCAAGTTTTGTTTGATCTATTCACAAGTTGATTATGCTTGTTTTTTTATGTTATCTGATCAAGAAGAGATGGAAAGAATACAGATGAATATACACCAACAAGTTTTGAAGTTGAAACAAACTTTTAGTTATTTGGTTATGTAGTTTATATATTCATGAGTCATGAAATTAATGCCAAAAGCATTTGTTTCAGCATTATGAAGAAACAGCTCATTAATGTCAAAAAAATCATATCAAAGAACAAAATAGCGTGTTGACAGAAAATCAATTTATAGTCAAATGTTGAAATATTATTTCTTAGGTTTTGAAAATAAAGATGTATGTTCTATCATGATCTCATTATTTTTGAATATTTTTGATGAAAAAATAAATTTCAAACTAGAACCTTTGGATTAGGATTATATAATTGCTGTACACATTCTATTAGTGATGATATTTTATATTTGAAGTTATTCTCTTGACTTTTAATGTTTTATTTATGGATTGAAACAAAGATCTGTTTCAACAGAGTACACAAAGTAAAGCAGGAAGTATTTGAAAAAATTTATTGATATTATGAAGATTCAAGTTATTTAATGAAGCATAATTAATAACAAATGATGTATTATGAAGAAAACACCTAAAATGTGAAATTGAAGACTACACATGTGGAGTGTTTGAGTACAATGTTGAGGTCTAAATTTTCATTTTCAACGATAACAATTGGAAGTATCTTAGAGGGCAAGTTGTGAGAATCAATATTTCATATACACTAATTTTGATTTTGAAAAAAGTGGATAAACAAAATCTATCTACTTTGTTGTTCAGGATTATTTGATATTTTTGTATTACAAAAAGTTGTCAAAAAAGTTGTTAGACTTGTTTTTAGCTTGTGAATTTCAAGATCACAGGTTAGTACATGAAGATGTAAGTCAAATTGGTTAAAATTATGATTTAAAATAATATATTTGATATTCAGAATTTGAGAAAAAAGTTATATGATGAGATTCAAATTCTTCATACTTTAAGCTCAATGTTTTGAATGCGATAGTTTCATGTGTGCTGTTTCGTTGAAAAAGTCAAAATTTCACTGTAATAAAATTATAAATGTTTTGTTCATTGATGATTCATATTAAATAATGATGATATCACCTCTTGCGTTTTTTCTGTAAAGATTAATCTGATTACCTCGCGGAATGATGCTCGCCTTATTTGAATAATACCCTTCTATTATCCACTTGGCACCAGCTTGCTTTTATTGATATATATAGGAGAACATGTAGATATAATCCATTGTCTAGAGCTGTCATTGTGAAATCTATAGTAGAACAATCAAGGTAGGTGATGGATTCTGATGACGACCAGTAGGCAAAAGACAATGAAAACACATTAGCTGCATTAGCAAGTTTTCTATACGACTCTATGGACTTTAGTCCGTGGTTGCTTCCATGTGAGAGTTGATGGGAATTCGCATGATCTTTTGCTTCTTTCTTGGAATCTCAATGTTACCGATCCTCTTGCTGAGATGCACGAGCTATTTTGGAACCAAGAGGAAAGAGATTCATCAACATGCTTTTCTGTACGGCACCTGTCCGTACAGGGAGACCCAGATGTCTAAACTAGACAACACACAAACGTTTCGGAACCACGGTTCGTCCTCTCCCGTCCGACCTCTTGTCGGCAGTGGGATTCCCCGTTGTAGTTCGGGACCGTACCGAGCAAGGGCTCGGGAGTAGACAGAAAAGAGGTTCCTTCGGAGCTTCTTTCTAATCTTTCTAACTGAGGCAAGTGGTGCTCTACCACAGGAAGAGGATGTAATTACCACTTTATAATTCTCCTTCTGGATGTGAAGTTCCGGTCTTCCGCGCGCTTTCTGTCCGCAATGCGAAGTTGTTACTTGTCCTGATGATCGAGCACTAACGATCGCTTCAGGATCATTCTTCCCAGTTGTGAAGCTACTCGAAATAGAAATCAAGTTATGATCCAAGTTGAAGGTTGTCATGAAAGTTACTTGATTTCTTCGTTTTCATTTATTCATTTCGGATATCTGCAGTGGGATTTACTCAGAATTTTTCAAGTTCAAGTTTCTGAACTCGAACATCCACACAAAGTTCTTGAACCTCACTTGAAGTTTTCATCCAGTAATGTGTTATGACATTAGAGGGAAAGTCACGCTACCGTAGGTTTGATGTAATTTCTACATGAAATTCAACTCACAAAACAAATTGAGACATAATCTTTGATCGAAAATGCCAGAAGGACACAAAGAGCAGCGAAGTGCTTGTTGACCGTGTAACATTATCGAAACAGAGTGATATCGTTCAACATGGGCGATGAGATCATTCAGTCTTCCATGTACCTAAGAGAACAGTATTATATTTCTGGATATATGTATTTGTACCTAACTAGACATTATTTTATTAGAAAGTTATAATTGTGCCAGTTTAATATATTTAGCCTTTTAATGATTTTCAGATTGGGGTCCTTCGAGTCCCGACAGGCGAACCGTACCCCGATGGACGCAGCTCTCGTCGTCAGAACGTTCTCGGTAGCTCGGCGAGTGTGCGAGCTTGCAGCCCGTACAAGTGCATGGAGTTCACCGGAGAAGATGCCACGTAGGCTGGTGCATGAAGTTTTTGTTTCGGGTTTAAATCAGCAGGGGACCGGAATACCGGGTGCTTCAAGATCCCGAGTGGATCTATGGGCCATCGATGACCCGGCCCGTTCTTTCTCGAAACTGATCGATCGAGGGAGCGAGCGAGGGAGGAGCTCGGGCACAGCGAGGAGAAGACATTTCGATTTGAGGAGTCATACTTTAGGGTTTAGGGGCATCGAATCCGAGGACATTGGGCGCGCGAGGAAGCTCTGCAAATTTCGTTGGAAAGCAGAATTAGATTGGTTGGAGCTGCACGCGGTTAAGGTGGACTTTGCAGATTTGTCGAGGATGGAATGTGTAGTCATTTGCAGGTGTTAGAAATTTTGTGACAGAGTGTAGAATTTTGCCAGGGCGTGGAAATTCATTCCGGGGTAGTGGGGCTGTGGGACGGTTTTGAACGGCAGAGGTCGTTGGAAGAATTGAGTGGCGCTCGAGCGGAAGATGGACGGGAATGGACCGCAGGACGGACAGAGACACATGATGGATCAGCAGCAACAGCAGCCCGGGGGTTGGTATGGTGCTAACCAGCACAATCCGTATATGGTGCCTCAAGCTTATAAATGGCCGTCTCATGATCCGTCTGTACAACATTATGCACAGCCTTCGGGTCAACCTTATGGACAGCCTGACTATTATATGCAACCCCAACAGTATGGTCCCCCTCTGCACCAGGCTGAGGCCCAGCCTCAACAACCACAGCACCAAGGACATATGTATGTTCAGCAAGAACAGGTGCGAGATCGTTCATACTTACATAATTTTGAAAGGTTCGATGTAACTAAGGTGTTCTCACGTCTGCCGATAGCTTGTCCACCCTTCCGTACGCTTTGCGGTATAATGACTAGTTCCAACTCTTTTCTGCGATGTCACCATAATTTTGTCAAAAATTCTGGGTTTTATGTCAGATAGTGCTATGCAGTCTGTCATGTTCAGTTTTAAGCTCCAAGAGATGTAGAGCGCCCAGTCATCTTCATGGCAAGCGAATTTGAAGAGGTCTGCGTCAGACCCGGATATTTTCTGAGCGGGAATTATAGCCCGGAGTATGTTCGACGTGTTTTCATCTTTGAGCCTGCCCAATTTTGGACTGGACCATCTGTGTGTGATTTTCGCTCTTCGTGTCCTCATTATATGTTCTGGGGAAGTTACGTCTGGATTTGGCTTCCTGACAGGGAGCTTCTTCATTGAAAGTCATTCTTCACCCGTTGGATGCGATGGGGGGTTTTCCCTAACTTATCTGAACAATTCTCCAAGTCGAATCTGCACATGATTATTGTGTTCGCGTTGAACGGCGGAGAGCAGCATACTGGATGACTGATTGCTCACACTGAGCCTGTGAGAAACTATTGTGTCGTCTGCTGTGTTTTGCTCCAGTTAGCATCTGCTCAATCGGATACTGGAAACGATTATCGGAAACCTTGAGATCAGTAGTGGGCAGAATTTCGCAGTTCACATTACTGCTGTAGTCAAGACTATATATATGCGTCAGTTTTAAGTAATATAACCGTCGGAATTCGAGATCTGCCTCGTTCATCACATTACTTCGATACCAAGTTTTCACTACAAAACTGATTTCGGTGTAATCTGATGCACAAGGTACAGGTTTTGGCTCGTATCACTTCGAGGTGTTTCCCGTAAAGCTACAGGACCTTGTAATTGAGTGTTTTACCAAAATTGCAGGAAACAAACTTTGATTAGATATGCAAAGTATATCCTATGGACCATGGATATCTTTGAGGCTTTTGCCAATTACTGGTGTGATGCAATAATAACCAGTTTCAGATATTAATGTGCGTCCAGGTATTGCAAGATTACTGGTTTTTTGACCAACCTTGTCAGGAGGTTGTTCAATAAGACCTTTTCTGTTTGTGAAAGTGGGAGGTGTCGTGCTCTGGACGAATGTTGAGCTTTGTCGTATCTACTGACATCAGAAATGAGATTGTGAGTGACGTAGTATCTGATCTTGGAATTTCTTGTAACATATTTTGTGCCTCTGCTTCACTAACGTGATCGTATGGTTTCCCTTCCAGGTGTGGCCTGCGAACAACACGTGGAATCAGCCTCAGTGGAATTATCAAGGTGGGCGAAGTTCAAACCGTTAGAGATCACTTTTGGTCTGTCAGTCATATACCTGAAGTTAACTGGTAGTCAGACTACGACATTCACTCACGATTGAGTGCTGTCTTGGGCACAACTTGGTGCTTGAAACGAAAATGAATTGTAGACTTAAAGTGTTGTTTAACCTGTCTGAGCTCCTCTAAACTTTACGGCCTGATCTATTTACAATTTACCATTTTTAGGTGCAAGCACTGGTTCAGAGGAGGAGGACTGGGCAGCCAAAGCAAGAGCCTGGGCCACAGCTAAAGCTGCACAAGAGGCAGCTCATCAAGCTCAGTTACAAGCTCAAGCTCAAGCTCAAGCACAGGTCCAGGCGCAAGCCCAGCCAGTCCTGTCGCAGCCTGAGCAAAGTTATCAGGAATATCCTCAACAGCCTCCTCAAGCTGCTCAGCGCCCACCCGAGGCTGTCCGACCCCCAACTCTACAACCCCCCGGTCAAGAAGCTTCTCATAGCTTCTCGCATGATGCTGCCACAAATTTCGGGCAAGAGACACACAGTTTTCCTCAAGAAACGACGGCGGCTTATGGACAGGGAGACCCTCCTCCAAGCTTTACTCAAGAAGGAGCGCCATCGACTTACTCCCAAGCAGGCCATGCACAGGTTGTTCCTAGCAGCTATCCACAGGATGTGTCGTCAAGTTATGGCCAGGATACTGCACATGCAGGTAGGTTTATTATTGGAGTTTTTGTCATTTCCTTAGTAACTTCTTCAAATTGGTGCCGAGACATCTGAATCAGGTGAAGTGTAACGGTAAATACAAACATGAAGTGAAAGAACGTTCTCCTTGAGATTTGCCCTCCATTGTTGTGATCTCGGTTATGAGAAAACAGACGACTTGTTTGGTAGCTCTTTTGCCTCACATAGAAGCTGTGTCGAGTCTTAAATAAACAAATGAATTTTTCAATAGTTGCTGGTCGTATTGTAGACGCTTGTTTGAGACCAGCAGTTTACACTTCAGGATTTGAGAATCACATTGGTGAGAGTACTCACGAAAGAATATTGCATCTGTTTCAGCGCCCCCAGGGACAGAGCAGCACGAACAGTCCAATCTGCAGCTCTCTCGTCCTCCACCTGCCCCCGTCTTGCAACAGCAGCAGTCACAATCATCCCCGTTGCCAGTTCAAGTTCCATCATTGCCTCAACCCCAGCAGTTCTCCTATCAAGATTCTGCCCCACCTCCTCCTTTTGATTTCCACCAGCAGCAGCAGTTTGACTTTCAGCAACCTCCGTCTCAAGACTATCAGCAGCCGCCCTCAACACCATACATACCTCCTGCTCCGTCTATGCCCTCCTTAGGGATGGACGGCACTGATGTGAGTTTTGGTGGTCTTCAGAGTGGGATGCCCGTGTGGCCACCTCTGGGTGCGCCAGGCATATCTTTTCCTCCAGGATTAGGACCTGGCGGTCCTGGTAGTCACCCTGGACCACAGGTATTATTCTGACGTCTTCATAACTGAATGCTAATAATTTGAAGCTTGCGCAGTTCGCGTAACCAACTCAGGTTTATCATTTTGGTTACCATAGTTCAGTGATTTCGGTGACTAAGTATTAGTTTTGTTGGTCTCCTGTGCAGTTCGATCACCCTCACCATAGTCATCCACACCTCCAGACTCATCCCATGCATGGTCATCAACCACTAAACATGTTTCCTAGATCTCATGGGCCGCCACGTGGGCCAGGTTTCCGCCCAGCCGGACCTCCTCTAGGTGGTCCATTTGGGTTTGGAAGTAGCCCTTCTTTAGGGCAAGGCCCAGGTGCAGGGGTTGGGCCTGTTTTCTTGCCTGACAGCAATGGAAATATGGGTGCTCCTGACCGTCCAAAGAAGGTAATGTTTTACATACAAATATATGGGCCCACCTGATTATGCAATCTGTACTATACCTTCGATATCAGACAAATTTCATTAGATTTGACGTCTCTGATTTTTTCTGTATTTTAATCGGCGCTAACACTCGCTATATCTGATCTCGCAGGCACCCGTTCCTTCGTGGTTGCGTGAAGAATTACTCAAAAAGAAACCTGCTGTCGGCCCGAGCAGTTCGACTGTTGTTTCTTTGACAGAAGACTTTGTTCGGGCAAATGGAAGTGAATCCGCCGCAGGTTCGGCACACAAGGTGGGAACAGCTGAGAGGACGAGAAGTGATTCTTCTGGACCAAGTGACAATGACGAAGATGACGAGGTAATTAAGCTTGAAACCGATCGTCGAAGGCAATTTGAATATAGAGTGTGTTCTTCTCTTTTTGATTTAGATGTGATGAAGTGATTTGCGAACTGGTTACAGGATGAGGCTGAGGCAGCAAGGACAGCTCAAATGAACCAGGAGATTAAGCGTGTCCTGACCGAGGTGCTTTTGAAGGTATGTTAAACCTCCCGATTGTAAAAGAAAGGGCTGGTCTTTGCATATTTGTTTCGCTTTGTGATAAGATGTATAATATCGTGTGACGTGGCATATATCAATCATTATTGCAGATGTTTTCGTCTATAAACATTTTGGAATCTTTCACTGCAGGTTACTGACGATTTATTTGACGAGATAGCGCAAGAAATTTTCGATGAAGATGAGCAAGTTGAAGAAGGTACACTTGATGCTTTTGGTTTTATATTTTTGACACTAAAGCTTACATTTTCAGCGAACGTTATTCTGCTTCGGTCAGTCTGTGTTTAGCAGGATGGTTTACTTATGGTTTAGCAGGGATGTGAACTTGGTAAAGTTCTTTAGGACAACCGAGGTGTGTAGTCGATATATGAAAGTTTTATACGCCTATTTTCAATCATTTGCAATTTCAGGACAAAGTCAGAAACCCCTACCAATGGAGACTGATAAGAGAGTGATCCTTCGGTCCAACTCCTCCCCATCCCCCCCTGCCGCGCCGAGTCTCGTCGCGCCTGCAAGGGTACTGGTCGCCCCAGCAAATCGCACTAGAGCACCTAGTGAAGATGATAGTGAAAGCATAAGCTCTGGCGCTCCTCTGGGTAATGTTCTTGGTCTTGCTAGCTACGCCTCAGATGATGAAGGCGGAGAACGTGCACTTAAACCATACTCCAATTCTGTACATCCAGACGTCAGTGATGATCCACAGAATCAAAGAGGGAAGACCGAAGAGAAGAGAAGTGAGAGAAAAGGTGCTAAAGTACCTGAGGACGATGATACTTTCGAGGAAAGAAAGGGCAGAGAAGTGGAAATTATTTTGCCTGTGAACTCCGAACGAAAGGAGAAGAAAGAGAAGGAAGTAGTTGCAAGAGAAAAGGAAAAAAGAGATGGCGAAAGCGACAAGAAAGACAGGGAGAAGGAGAGGAAGGATAAGAAAAGCAAGGAGGTGGATCGCGAGAGGGACAAGAAAGAAGCGGATAGCAACAAGAAGGAGAGGGAGAAGGAAAGATCTAGGGATAGAGACGGGCGATTGCGAGATAAAGCGGTAGATAGCGAGGAGAAGAAAAAGGAGATGAGATCAGAGTCCAAAGGTAGGAAGCGCTCTAATGAAGATAGCAACAGTAGTGACCAGGATGCCAGAAGTCCTAGAAGAGCCCGACACTGGGAAACCGAACGAACGACTACGAACTTCTCAGATCACGTAGGTAGAGACAAGATTGACTCGGAGGTATCTGGGCGGCCTTTCAAAAGTGGAACTTCACGGAGCCAAATTGGTCTGAAAGAAGACAGGCACGGTAATTCAAATTCTCGAGTGAAAGCAACCGAAGCTCATGTGGATGTGGAACGCGAAGATCGCAGTTCTAGTGGTGGGCAGGTGCAAGGAATGATTGCAACGAAGGACTATAACAAAGCCGAGTTGAAGCATGAGAGACACGTAAAAGATACCAAACTTCAGTCAAATGATGGAACAGGTGGTACGATATCTGGTGGAATCAAAGCACGTGTGGAAGTTAGTGAAACTGTAGCGAAGAAGGTCGAAGACGGTAACAAGGATCATGAGCGCTCTAAGCATCGGAGTCGCGATGGAGATAGAGAGGTAGATGGGAAGTCGGAACGGAGTAGAGAAAAGGCTCGAGACAAAGACCGCGAAAGAGACACAGACAAGATTTATGGCAAGGACAAGACTCGAGAGTCAGAGCGTGGAACAGACCGAGAGAAATCTAAGGTTGAAAGGGGCAAAGATCGTGGCAGAACCCATGAGAGGGAAAGAAGAAAAGGGGAAAAGGATCGCACCGAAAGAGGCCGAGAAAAGCGAAAGGACTCTAGGGATTCTAAAAGGAATAAGCACAGGTCTTCCTCAGGAAGTAGTAGGGGAAGAAGTCCCTCCTCCAGCCATGAAAGCAGTTCTGGTGACGATAGGAGCAAGAGTCCAAAGCAGAGGTGTGTAAACCGTTACCCCCTATCTAATACTTTATCGAAAGTTGTTTCTCTCCGAAAGTATCTCGTCAGGTTTACAGCTTTTACTCGACGATCATTTCGTTCTGTCTGTTGTTTGCATGAATGCTGTGCTGAAAAGCTTGTTCTGAAGTTGATGACGATCTTTAAAGAAGGAAACATCTTCAAAATTCAGATTTCATTAACTCTGGTGTTTTTGCAAGAACGACGAAATTCAAAACTGAAGTTATGTTGTCATGAGAAAGATAGGTTTGATGAAGAGGTAGAATAGTATGCGAATATTCCCTGTTTAGCAACAAATATCCTCGCGCTGAGCCAGGCACGGGTCTTTGACTTTCAGAATACAACATGCGGAGAATAGCGATCTTAATTACACTAAATTCAGTTTTTTATGTTAACTCAGTACTTTGGTAGTAGAGTCACCTGATAGTTTTTTCAGGTACAATAACAATCCAGGCAGACCGAAATATCACTACAATTGAGAGTCTTCGCGATGAAAGATTATAACTATGTGTAGATATCTCATCATATCGAATTCTCTACGAGACTGCTTTCTTTTCAATGCTCTACGAGTCATTCTCATATGTGAAACTTTTCTTTTAACGTGGATCAGTTGGTCAATGAACGATATAAGATGAATTTGACATGTGAGCAGATACGCTTTTACATGCCTGATTTTAGATTGTTTCGTATGATAATTTCAGGAGGCTTGGCAGATCCAACAGGCGGCTCAGTGTGTCTCGATCACCTGTGAGATTTAGAAGAAGGTATGTGATTGAGAACTAAATATCCCTCGTTTGTTCGCAACCAACCAGAGAATACATTGAATGTTTTTCTCTTCATGTACACAATTTTCTCTAGAAGGAAGTGTCTTTTTGTGTGTAGCTTTTGGACAACTATTTTTCGCGTATTGATTATGTTAAGACAGCCCTTCGAGACCAAGCTCAACCTCTTCAGTTTCACGTGACTCGCATTTCTGACTATCCACTTTTTCTGAAGGTTCTGGAGCCCTTGCTCCTAAAATTGTGATTTGTTATAACTCGTTAGTAGATCGCTTAAAGTTGCTATCGAAAATTTTATTTATAAATATATCAGTCTTTGGGCTTGTTCTCTTAGTAGTTTTGGGATTATAAACGCAACAGTAGTGTCTGCATATTGGTTGGCAAAAGGCAGGTGTCGACACCTGCTAATACTTAGTCCCTATTCAGCCTCGGAGCAAGTCGCAAAGAAGGTTTTAGCTGCTCTGAACATTAATCATAACTACGTAGTCCTAAATCTCCTGTTGATGCTAAGTATAGAGGTAGTTTCGCTGCTTGTCTCGAATACCGGGAGTGCTTCTAAGAGATTGACGAAGCAGCTATACCATTATATCATAGTACATCTAGGCAAATCAAAAACTAAAATAAGATTACTGGCTGTCTGAAGTGACCTGCTTCGACTAGATGAATATTCCCTGCTTTTCGATGGAAGTTCGATGAATGTAATGAACTCAGACTGCTACTTCTATCTGATCAGCGAAAGCAGGGTTGTATATAGGTTGTATGAAATGCGTCCCAGTGACTTTAACTACGATGGTACTTTTCCAAGTGCTCTCTGTGCAGGTGCCCTCCGGCAGGGTAACACTTCTAAGGATTAAGTGTTGTGTATCTAAGTAAGAGTTGTGTGACTTACATGGCAAGTATGATGATTGTGTATCTCTAGACGATCCTCGCGCTCTCGTTCACGGTCTCCTCCTAGCAAGTATTCTCATCGCAGGCATTCCCCTTCTCCTTCTCGTGAAAGCGATAGGTAAGCGAGCCACCTGATTTTTCAACAGAATCATGAGTTTCATTTGCAGGCAGGGCACGATGTTCAGGATAAACGTGGCTCTTTGTGTGTATCCCTAAACGTGAAGATCGGTCTCACTCTATCAATTAGACATCACCTTCTTCTTTTTGTCTGTAGTTATGTGATCATCACTTCGACTTCTCTTTTAATTTCAGACATCGTATGAGATTGACAGGCATAGATGATACTCTCCGGAGAAACAACTGAAAGACAACCTGCGACAGAGAGGATCGTGTCTATACCATTGCGGATCGGCAGTTTTGACAGCAGCAGTCAAGTTACATGTAATATGAAAGCGAAACCACTCCCAGTTTACCACGGCAGGCACCCATTTGCTCTTTGGTTTAAATGGTCTCTGCTTGATGTCAAGATCCAGATCCTGCGGACAATAAAACAGTTGTGTTATGTCTGCCACGATGTCAATCAAGAGCTGCCTGGCTAGGTCTTTATCATCTAGTAGTTACACATTTTCATGGTCAGAAAATACAGGCAGATGGAAGGGTTGGAATATTTTGTCAGCAGTTTCAAGTAGGTAAGTTGGGCCGTCCCTTGTAAGTTAATGGTTCTTTGGGACCAATCAGTATGTTAATATCAGAGCGTTTGCCAGATGCTGTGTAAATTGTTACATTTTACTTGAGTCCCCGCGTCGTTCGTTCTGCTGTCTATCGTGTAGGACTTCTCTTTTATCTGGATTAAATGACCAATTCGTTTGTACTTTGCCTTCGAGTTTGCTGCCCGTTCGCATCTCATTTATCCAACCAGGCATGTGAAGGTGGATGGGAAGCTATCTATTCTTTAGGCTGATTACGGGACTTCCTGATGCGACTGCGAGACAACTTTGTTGGTTAATCCATCAATAACGGGAGTATCATGAGAAGGGAAGAGGGGGATTGATCTGGATCTATGATAAACCATTAAGAAATGAACATCGGGAGAATTCCCAAGGTCACAAAAGAATTAATTGATTGTTCACAACAGACTCTCGAATCAAATTGAAGGCATTCGGAAAAAGACCAATCAGGGTGCTAGTTACCAGCTACTTATAACGTGAATATCTGGTCGGTTTCTTTTCTTAACACGTTGTATTACCGGCAGACGTCCGATTTCTAGTGTTGTGAAATTGTTGTCATATACATCACCTATTGTGCTGCTGCTGGAGCTGGTACCACTTTAACTCTAGGTTGTATGCTGGAGCTGGTCCTACGTAAACTCTAGGCTGTAGTCATCACTGATGCTGGTGTGCGAGTTCGAGGGCTCTAACAATTCAAGTCAACGATTCACAACGACAATTTTACACAGAATTAGATTGCATGCCTGTAGATTGATCAGATATATTCCATTTTAACCACTGGAATACACGTGCTATTAGTTCTAACTTATTCATCATGGCCACAGATCAAAGGATTCACATTTGAAAAGTTTTCTGTTCAATGGGAAACCATCTCCCCATACACATAACGTCTATTCACCAACATGCGTTATGAAATATGCTTTCATGTTAAATCATCAATGAGGAAGAATGCTGATGAATATATACTAAACTATGGGCATTATCGTCTTCACTGTAGATGTGTCAGATTTTAACTCACATACTACTCGGAATAGCAATTGAAGTTCCAACCCTCGAAGTAATTTCACTTGAAGCAAGAAAATTGAAAGTAATATTGATATCGGAAGAATAGGTAGTTGCAGTGTTGATAGGAGTGAGGAGTATGCTACAAGAAATTCTAAAATTGGAAACTTGGCACTGTCCAAAGTTACAAAAAGTTGGCATCGTCTAAAAAATTGGAGAGTTGTCACATACTTCAAGTAGTTTCAACTTCGAAGTTTAAAAAAGTCGACATGACCTTCACACCGTCACTAATAGTATATGTCACTTTCGTGAAATCATACACTTTTCAATCAATGAGTTTCATAAATTGTTTTATCTATGTTATCAAAAATAGAAACTAAAAATCTATTATAAGAAATCCATGTGATAATGACAAGGTTACTGCCTGATTCACTGCTGGTGTTGGTCTAGACTTGTTGGATCCAAATATGTTTGTCACTCAAATTTGTCAGTTGTGACGATGAATTTTTTTATCATTTTGGGAGCATAAGCAAGATAAGCAACAAATTCCCAAGTTCGCCTTCTTACTTTATAGCACTGCCAATGTACAAGATATTCTAATCTCATTCCCTTGATGAGAAAGTCTATGATTTTAGAAACTTGAAATAATCTTCTTCGTTAATATTAATTGGCGACGGAAGTGCTGACAACTGACCCAAAATAATCAATTCTTGTACGACTCAAGCAATGAAGTATGAAACACTAAATGATATTTCATAAATGATAGCAGATCCAATGTGTATGCTATCTAATTGACTTCTTTATTCAAAAAAACTTACAAGATGATAACAGTCAAATTTGTCGCTCTATCTACAATTCTCCAAATTGTGACACAAAAACAAGACTTTATTTTCAACTGAGATGTTTGAATTTTCTTTCAAGATTTGTCTGATTTTTTTTTATGACGCTGTTGAGTTTCTACAAGCATTGCATTCATGTATTCAAATATATCTTCAAATCTATGATGAAAGGATCTTGCGCAACTGGAATTTTTTGCTAAATTCACATTCAAAGAGTCAAATTGTAAATGATATTCATAATTTGCAAAGAAGAGAGTTTGATCAATGAACTCTTGAAATATACTATTGTAGTCAAATTTTGCAACTAGAAGTAAAGATTAATTGTCTTGATAGTAATTGATGAAACACTTTAATTACTGCTACAATACTTGATTCACTTGTTTAGTCTATACATTTTTGATTCACTTGTTTAGTTTACCCTTCCGTTTGAAGATGATAGTACAATGTAAAGTCTTGAATAGAGATTGCAAGAACTTGGATGTAATTTGTCTATCACAATCAAAAATGATGTAGCCAAAAAATCCATGATATTTGTATATGCTTCAAGAAAAATTGTATTGATTCTTTAACTCTGATAATCTTGTTGTAAGACACAAAATATGTCATATTTGTCAAACGTTAACCTATAACAAAAGTTGATTCAATAGATTTGGACACAATGGGTTCAAATGGGTACAATTTGGACACAATGGAAAATTGCACAATGAATTTCATGGATATGAATGTATATGGAGTTTACACAATCGGCAACGGTTGAAGTAAGACGTATAGACGATGATGAGGTATCTTGGATCTGGAGTGGAAGTCACATGTTGTGAAATTGTCCGTCATAATAATTTATACTTGTGGTCAACAAAAATGTCTTAATATTAGTTCCATGATCTTGTTTAATAATTGTGTCAATCTCAAGATTGTAAAATTTGGAGTCGGCATGAATTTTCAGGAATATAAAGTAATCTCGAGTATTCTAAAAACTCATTTTGAAACTGCAATATTGGATTGATATCATCTCAAGGCGATTTGGAATTAAATGAAATGAAAGTAGATCTTTTCAAGAATTTCAAATCTATTAGATTTAAATTAGAGACGTGAAAATACTTATGTGGAAACTTTACAGGATTAAAAATGCTAGCATTGTTATTCAATGTCAAGTCCAAAGCATCAAATTGTAATATGATTCTATAAAAACTCATCTCGAAACAACAATATTGGATTAACATCATCTTGAGATGTTTCATACAATTTGAAAACAGTAAAATGAAAGTAGACTTATTCAAAAGTTCAAATCTATCATGTCTAAATTAGAGCTTTGAAAATTTGGACTTGAAATCAAGTAACTACATTAATAGTCTCTACTAACACATTTACAAGATTTTTATCAATTTTTATCAATGCTTGAGGTGTATCAAAATTTGTGCGTCTCGATGTTCACAAGACAATTGTTTAAGTTGTGATTTTTGACTACATAATCTAAACACACGTGCTTTGTGCTACGTCATTGTTTTTCCTTCTTCGTTTAATTTCTCCTTGTAAATGTGTTGATTTGTATGAACCATAAAGTAAAAGTGCTTGAAAAAGTTTGGCAAGCCAGAGCAATTTAATTTGCTTGATATGATTCAAAGAGCAATTTTTTTTTTATTGTTGTTCAAAGAACATGTTGTTGCAATCAATTGTTTGAGTCATGGATTCTTATAGAGTTGTTGGTTTGTGCAAGTTCAACGACAAGCTTTTGATATTATCACAAACTCACTTATCAAAACATAGTGATAAGGAGCTGTATTGTTTCAATGGAGATCACATGCATGTTGTTGAAATTTTGCAATGTATGTTGAAGGTAAAGGAGATAGTTGTTGTAATATTTGAAGTTTTGTTTTTGCTATGAAGACTTGATCTCCTTTTCCAAACATCATGCTGAATTCTTAATCTAATTAATCAAGGTTTGCAAGATCTTAATATAATTAATCAAGGTATGCAAGATGTGGAGAATCATTCTTTGATAATGATAATAATCAATAAATCTAACTTGTTTTTTTTGTTTAGTATCTTTGTGATTGAAAACGAAAAATAAGTCGAACGTGATTGAAAAAATTTTGAAGTTTTATACTATGTCAAACTTTTATGACAAATTTACTCAAAGATGTTATGACGATTGTGAAACTAGATTTGTTGCAGGAGATGGAATATAAATTTGAGTGCGAGCAACTTGAAGTTGTTTTATGGCATTTTGTAGGTTGACATTCTCTTGTTATAGCTGTTTGAGCATCACTATCACGTTTTGCATCTGCATGTTGGAAGATTTCCTCATCTTGAATTTGATACGCTTGGAGGTTCAAAAATGAAGTGGCAATTTTTTTGAGTCTTCTCATTTTGGAACAATCACCGAATGTGAAAAGCTTAAAATTATAGTTACAAAATTGATAGTAGACTTTCATCATACTGGTGCGGAGTTCAACTCACACAAAATTTGAAACAACACTCTAAAACAAGATGTAAAAACAATTCAAGATGAAACAACTAGAAGTAGTATTGATATTGAAAGAGTAGGTCAACGAGACTAAAGAACAATGTTTCAATATTCTACTGCTTATAAAAACTCTAAATTTGGAAAATTGACACCAACTTTGAAGTTGAAAAAAGTTGTCAACACCCATTAAGTTGGAAAGTTAGCATCGTGCAAAATTGAAAAAAATTGAAACCGTCTCTACACCGTCATCACTACTGTATGTCACGTTTGTGACAATAGATCAATGTTTTTTTAAAGTGATTGTATTACGAGAATATGAAAAAATGCAAATATTTTCACATCCCATAATTTAATGTGAAGATATATAATAAGGAGTACAATGAATTTGTTTTTACACTTTTAGATAGTGATTTATGTTGAAAGATGATCCATGATAAGATGAACTTGCAGTTTATTCAAAATATGTATCAAGCGTATCATGAATTATTCAACTTTTCAAGTTTTTTTAAATAATGTACAGAAATTTCAGTTTATTATTGTTGAAATATGTTTTATGGTAACAACGTTTTTTAACATTCTTTAGCTTTTAGCATCTGGAAATACAAAATTGATTAAAAAGAAATTTTGTTTAAGAATTAAGATTGCGAAAGCATCTTGTAAGTATATTGATGAATTTATTACATGATCTGATTTTGACATGGATGATGAGACTTGAGATGATTATATTGACTAATATGATTCTTACATAAGATTACGAGATGATTTTTGAAATCTTCTCAAATCAATGGTTAAAACAAGTTGAAGCCAACTAGTGCCAAATACTTGGATATTTTTATGATGTAAGAATATGAGACATGAAGTTTATCTTGTGAATGATTGAAGTTGTTTGTATTTAGGTGATCATGATATAATCTAAAACGTTTTGAAAGCAGTGGGCTCTGTGCGCCGGGAGCACAAAGTGGATTATAAAAGTTGGAAAGTTGGTTGTGAATCATCGTGTAGTCCTCTGATAGCTAGCTTTGGCTTCCTACCTTGAAAAAGCTCAGGAATGGAGCCGATAGAAATGAGTCCCTGGTGCAAGAGCTACGTCGGTGGAATTGCGCAGGCTAGGTGCAGTGGCCAACGTGTAAGAACAGAAGATGACAAAAGGGATACTCAGTGTGCCTCACGTTTCAGTTGAAGTCCCAAAAGAAGAAGACTTCGAATCTTTTATAAAGTTGTCACTTAATGGAAGGATTACAATCGAATTGATGTAAAAAGTATAAACTAATATACAAAAAGAATTTGCAGGTTCTACCCACATCTATGCCCTATAGATCTAATGTCTACGCCTAAGCTAATTTCCGGGCTCCAGCTCCTGCAATTTCATGGGTAGCAATTACTTTTTCCTTGCGCCATTTGTCTTCGCTGGAGATTAAGTCCATAGCTAAGGCTGCAAGAAAGCGCTTCTTTCCAGTTTCCATACTCCAAGATTCTGTGTCTGTCAGCATCTAAAAACCCTGAACGACTCTAAGGCTGCAAGAAACCTCGGCTTGCAAGTTTGCACACTTCAGGATTCTTCGTCTCTCTGTGACCAACAACTCTGAAAGGTTCTAAGGCTGCAGGAAGCCCCGGCTTCCAAGATTCCACGCTCCAGGATTCTGTGTCTCTAAGTATCAAAAACGCTCTGTATAATTCCAGCAACTGATGAGTATGTGCCAGCTATGACACATACTACGCCCACCACAATGATGAATACACACACGATACGCTGCAAGCACAAGGCAATATTAGAAACACTGCCCTCACAGACGGCTGAAATTTGGCTTCAAAGTTAGTGTTAGACATCCACCTTCAAGTTAAATAAAATCTTGAGATTCCCCATTACCGGGAGGATCTCTGATTACTGAGGGGTTTCCTATACAAAGCATGTAGAGCGGTTTCCATGATTTGATACTTTCTCCTAAATGTAACCACTGTTACTACTGCAGCATTGTATGTATCATAAGCCCTACGTGCAAGAGCATTCACCTGCATGATCGTCGTCTTGTCGCCCACAATACTCAGGTAACACAGACATGGTAAAATAAGGGACTGCAGATCATAATTCGTCGAGTCAGAAGTTTGACACTGCATATAATGTTCAACTGCAACCATTGACTTCGCTTCAAAGTATACGAAAGGAAGTGTAAACAGAAGCATTCTCCTAAAGTCTTGTTTTATGGAGGCACAAAAATTAGACGTCTTGAATCCTTTTAGAGTAAAAACTTACCACTGTCATACTCAGGAAAGCACCGATGAATGCCATGACGAGCCCTGCCCAAAGTCGCAAAGTTGAAGTTAGCATCTAATCTTCTCGATAAAAAGCGTTTGACGGCAAACAAGTCTAGCTCGTTTAGTAGCAAATGTGTGTGAAAGTATTCAGGTACTTTGCAACAACATCGAGGTTGACAGACCTTGGGGCAGCATTTGGTGAGTGACGTGATTCTGGACTCGTTGCTTCCAAGAAAGGTGAAGAAATATCTATAAAAGCTATGATGTTTTTAGATTTGACAAAACTCTAAGCAACTGAAATAGAAGGGATTCTAGCTTGCTTGATAAAACTGTAGCTGGAAAATGGCCAAATTCTGTGTCCGAGTCTGAGGATGGCAACCCATCATAGCAGGCACTGGTGTAAAACATGACTCTCGTCTGGTTGCTGCCAAGCATGCCAATGCAATGCAGGGAAACTGGATGACTTCGAAAGCTTATTGAGAATTTCAAAAAATTTCCCGGTCTTGAACAAGTAGTACTCGAAACAATGATGGAAGATCAATCTTTCAGAATACACCCAGTGCGGTAGTCAGTGCGAAAGAACCTACCAAAATACGGCACGAGCACTGCTACGGCAACAGTTGACATGACAAGTCCGGTTCTGAGAAACGTCGAATACTTCATTGCTTTCTCATAAGGAAGAAGTTCCTCCAAGCACAGTGCGACTGGAGTCATAGTCAACGCGAATGTGCCACCTCATAGAGTTAAGGAGATAAGTATTGAAAGCTGAGAAAAGCCATTTCACAACTGCTACGCGTATGGATTAAAACACTCATTGACTATATTACTAAAGCGTAAGAGAACGTAATTTAACTTTGAAGTCCTTTCTATTCAACTGGGCGACATTAAATAAGGTAAAGGAAAGTGTGCAGAACAGAAATTTGATCAAAAGAGTGGATATTTGGTAATGGGATTGATGACCTGTAAACAAAACCACACGCCACACACCTTCTTTACATTAGTTCTGATAGTCACTTGGAATTTCAGTACAACTGCAGATTCCAGAGGAACACAAAATTGACCGGGATGAAGCCCAAAGTTCAGAACTGAGAGGTACTGCTTCTTACAGTTGTCCACACAGCAATCTTTGAAGCCAGGAACTCTTTCGGCAGGTTCAAAGTAATTGAAGATAAGGTGTCTTGTCCGAACATTGAAATCCCCATAACTGCCATTCCTCCGTAAATTAACGATACTATGAAGAAACTGCACCCCAGATACAGAGTCAGTAAATTGGTCCAAAGAGGATTACTCATTACGCAAGGGTAAAAGCCTGAAACGCGAATGTCGAAAATGATCAGGTAAATACAACTTGTTCATTTGTTTTCTCTCGTAACCTATACGGTATCAGGTTCCTGCCTCCCTCCTTATACTATGAGCTGATGTGACAATAGGTGAATAAAACTCCACTAGTCGCGTACCTGACTTGAAGAACGAGATTGAAATCTTGAGGTCTTTTCATGGATGTGTAAACGTTGGGGAAAACAGCATGGCCAGAATAACAAAACCCGTAAAGACCAATGGAGACAGGAAGCTGTGCAATATTGAGAAGAGGTCCCGTGCCTCGGTGGAAGCCTACACCGTCAAAAGCTCCTACCCAGAAGACCGAGAACACCACTACAAGGGTCGCAACCACCCCTCCAGCTGCGCAGAATGAACGATCGAATGTCAGCATTTATGCAGCCTGATGGAATTAATGGGACACTTGGATCCTACACATGTCATGGTCAGGTGGATCTAGTCTCAACTCAAAAGCATATCCAGGAAAGTCTAGCGCTTGAAGAATGCTCGATGGAATAAGTAAGAGATAGGAACCTGAGACGTATGAGAGCACGCTCAAATCTCGAAGCCACACAGTGGGCATGATCACTAGGGCCGATACAATACAGAAGACATGCTGAGAATCCAGGTGAAGTCCTCCCATGTCGAGTCGAGCACCAGGAAACAAAGCTGACAAATTGTCTCCTTCTAAGATGATAAACTCCACGCAACATGCCTGAAACAGCAGATATCAATTCGACCCGAATAAAAGACTTCCAACCAGAGCTTGAAAATCTGTTTACGGTGCAGACTCTTGACTATTCCATCATACTAAAGGTTCACATTCAGTAGTAGCAAACAGTACAGAATCAGGAGTTAACTTGCAACAACAGGAGAAGCTCGAAATCATCACTTACATAGAGCTCAATATAAAGGATTATCTGCACCCAAGCAACCAACGAAACGTAGTATTAGGATCGACATGAAGGCACGGAACAGACGTCAGGCCGCAGAATCTACTTTTCGTTGCAATTTCAGTCGAGTTTGCGGCATTGGCATTATTCTTTTCCAAGTCGGAAGGACATTCAGTCTCCACCAAAGTGACATCAGCAGGGTTGCCCTGCTGCAGTGAAACTAGGGGGCATTGGACTCTTCAAGGCTGGGAGGATAACAAAAACTAGAAATGTGAATAATCTTTCGGACGGATGACTTCCCGAGAAACATTTATGATTGACTACTCTATGAACAGCTTCATCTTCCGCAAATGCAGACAGAGATCTTCCGAAGTTCCTTGGTCAGCGGGAATGTGCCAAGACAGGTTCTACTAGCGCAGAACTAGCGGACAATGAAACAGTAGTTCAGTGACCCCGCACAGTCCTGGAATATTTTACATTATCATAAACTCGAAGGCAATGATGGAGGAATTCAAGCACAATCCAGAGTGTTGTGCACAGGCAACGAGGCATTCGTGGCATTCGTGGCGGCGTGGAGTGGAGCATACTCACAGAGATAATAAAGCGTCCGGTAGTGCCGAAGGCAGCCTGCCCGATGTCCGGATACGACTGCATGCCTGGTTGGCTGTCGAGGCAACGACGGAGTAAAATACCTGTGTAGCAGCAAATAGCTGCAAGAGCAAACAAAAGAATAATTCCTAAAAAGCCTCCTTCCTTGAGAGCATACGGTGTAGAAAGAACACCAACTCCAGCCAGCACGTTCAAACCTGCACTACATGCAAGCAGGAGCAGATTTTAGTCCAAGTCCTCCACGCTCTGTGGAGCTCGAAAGGACATTTCGGCGTCCGATGACAGAAGACGGAACAGCAATGAGGAGGGACGCGGTGCATTCATGAAGGAGGTGCCCTCACGAGGGCTATAGGCGCATCAAAAACCTGGACGGTCCTTCTAAGAACACAGAGCGACAGAGGACGAGTCATTAGTCTGATTCGCTATGAAATTTCATTTTGATCGTGCAGGTGCTCTTCAGAAAATTGGCAAACTGCCACATTCTCCAAAGAGCGAGAAGAAAATACGAACTTCGCCAGGACCATTGGAAGGGTGCTTACCATTGAGCATAGCCTGCGTGAAGCTGGAGCCCTCCTCTTCCCTCTCAGCATCCGCGAATTTGGAGGGCAGGTAGGTGATGCTGGCGTCCGAGTCCACTTTGCAGATTGGCTTGGCGCCTCCGAGGCCCTGTTCCGCATCTTCGCCCTTACCGGGCAGGAAGGGTATCCGCAGATTCTCCGAGCTCGAAAAAAAGGCGCTATCTTGTTTCTTAAACGAGGAGGATAAAAATGAACTGCTGATGCGAGGAATGGGGCTAAAAATTTGAAAGGTCGGAGATCCTGACACGATTTGATAGTCCATAGATTGCCTGCAGCAGATGAACACACAGCAACATTCGATCCATTTAGCATCCACGTCTCTTCCTTTGCAAATGTCCTCATGCTCCACTCCTGAGACTGTAAATTCTCACCACCGACATGATCCATGAAACTCCATCCCTCGTGCATGTAAGAGCTAGCAAGGAACTCCCGAACTAGTTGCCTACGTCGTCAAGATTTCCACATCTCATCAGCTCCATCATCGACAGCGACAGATCCAGCTGAGAAACGAGCATTTCACACATTCAAGCCATTCCAACTTCCAAGCGTTTACAGAAACGTGTAAATTTCGGCCGTGCACGTGGTTTATACGTGTTCTGCCTCGACGGCACAGGCCATAGTTCCGAATCTAGAGCAGGTACAAGCGCAACAGCGACGAGCTTCAGTCCTCGGTGTTGGATCGACAGTCCAGAACCGTGAAGACCGGGAGCCGACCGTGATCTCTGCCCTTTGACAGAACCAGAGATGGTCAATTTCACGAAGCTCGCAAACTGCGTGAGTCCTGGAAGACCTGTCCGGATTCAGATTGAAGCCTCACTGCGTCGCCAGTGCGAGGGACGAATACAGCCAGAGAGAACCACTTCCGACGCTCGTCGAATGGTTTCTGGGACAAGATCCTGGGACAAGAGTGACCGAGCGGTCGGAGCGCAGTCGAGAACACTGCTCTGCATTATGACAGCGACGCAGAGGATTTGCAGAATCCAGACGTCTGACCACTCTCGAACTACAGCGAGAGTGATTCCGTATGAATCCCACTCAAGGCTCGAGGCTCCATTCGCTCAGACACCGTGAGCTGCCGATTCAGTCACAAATGCATGAGCAGGGAAATGGAAAGCGACGAGGACGAGGCGAGCTCGATGCAGGAGAGCGCGGTCGAAGCCGTCGGGTCAGAATCTCGAATTTCCGACTCGACGTGGCCTCGAATCGCAACACTGGGTTCCTGTCACCAGCTACGGCTGTCGGAGAGTACGAACAGCCATTATGGAGCTTCCGTGGCCCATTTGACGCTTCGAGCGGGCGGCGACAGGATCTGCTCAGATGTAATAGACTGCGGGCGATTGAGAAGAGAGTGATCCAGAAACATTTCGAACTGCAAAAGAAGAAATCGTGCAAGCGATGGCAAGAGGAAGCACCGATAGCTTTGAGGCCATGTTGGATTGGTGAAGGAGCCGACGGAGGAAGTCCTGGAACCGGCGTTAGTATGACGGTGGCCTCGACCGGTCGGCGCTCCATTCTCATTAACCTCGGTATTATTATCGTCGTCTTCATCATCGCTCCCAATGTACAGGAGAGATGGATTCGAACCGGGAATCCGCATTGTGGTGTGGTTTTATAGATTACAAGAGAGCCTCAAAGGATATACAAAGGAACTACACCGCTCTATACAGCTTCAGATCTCTGCTCGCTAGCCTCGCAAAACTGTCCTCCGCCTGCCGCATGCAGCCAGCCCGGGGATGGATGGAGCGACGGGGGGAGGAGGAGGAGGAGGAGGAATTCGACTCAATGTACAGCTTCCCGGCCTCAATTGCCAACCGCGGCAGCAGGTCCTCGATTTATAATTTCCTCCCCATTCGATCCCAGCCCGGACCTCAGTCCACCATCACCAGAAAAGAGCTTTACAGAATCGGACTCCACTTGCAGCCGCGACGTCGCAACAACATCTCTCAGACCCTCGACCGGCTGCTGGATCACATCAGCAGCTCACTCCCCGAGACAACGCATACTCCAAGGACGACGATGTAGTTTTATTGCCGCTAGTTCTCCCGCTACTTCTTCTTTTCCTCGCAATGCTTCTCCTCATCTCCATCGCCCTCCCTCCCTCCGACGTCCCCCCTCTGCTCTCGTCTACATCTCTTCCCCAACACTCTACGCTACTCGCCTCGCCAATCCTCGCCAATCCTCCCGCTCCCTCTCTCGGCCGCTGTAAAAAATGGCCGATTACTGGAGGCAGCTTTTCTTCTAGGGGCCTGGACAGTCCCACCGGCAAACCGGGGAGGAATCATGGACACCTGGCGGACGCGATTCTGTCGGGCACACGTGGCGATTCGGCTATCTCGCATAAAGTGCCCAGATGTACCAATGCAGATTCCACGTCGACCGTCGACGTGGGAGCGACTTTCGATCCAGCGTCCGTTGCGAGATCGGCTCCCATCTGAGCACCCCGCCAGGCTCGCCTCGGTTGTTCCGGTGACCTGGACCACGGCAGTGACTGGATTCTGGAAGAGTCGCATTTACTCCGCTCCAAGGAAGCGGGAGATTTCACCTCGCCCTTGTCGCGTTGTCGCCCCGAACGCCTCTACTGCGGCCACTCTGGCTCCCTCGCAGTTCTCTTCCGAACCTCGTCGAGCACCGTGAATGGCCTGCGCAGTTCAGAACATTCGATGGACGAGCGGTCGGATTCAGATTTCCGTCCCTCAGTCGATTCCCTTCGTGGGGTGGGCGATTCACGTGACTCCTGCTCGACGTGTTATCCCGCCCATCCGGTTGACGAATCTCCGTTAGAGCGATTCCATACGCTCTACGGTTAGCGATCCGAGGGAGAGGGCAAGTTAACACGAGCTCTACATGTCGGGATCCGTTCGGTTCGACGATCCGTAAATCCCTACTCTGACACCGTTTCTAAGCCGCTCAGCGACTGGAAGAGCTCTGGCTAAATGCAAATGCATTTCCCCGACTTATAAAATTTATAAATATGTCTGTGTATCGCTGTGCCGATGGCAAAAGGGGCTGCATCTATCTGCCTCTAGAACATGATCGTAGCAAAGGGATGATTGATGGTTCATGTTCCAACAATGAACGTACTAAGCATTTCACAACACATGCAACCTGAAGATAGCTAGCTCATCGAGCTTCGAGAAGGAGAGAGAGAGAGATAGAGGGAGTTGAACGTCGTAGACTTCCTTTAGGGGGCTAGCGACCACGAAGCGTGGATTGGGCAGGAGGGCCCTTGGGCACCACAAGGAAGGATGAAAACACTGCCGGCGTGTCAGGAACGTCCAAGGTCGAGAAGAAGGCCCGAAATTCTGAAATCCCGATCCTATCTGAAGCCCTGGCAGGCGCGAATATGGGTCTTCACGATGGTCGCAGAGGTCATGCCAATCCAGCTATGTACGAAGTTGAGTTCGATTGTATTTGTGGGCGGATGATCTGGCCCCATAGCCAAGGGCAAGCGAGCTTAATTGTTTCGGGGGGCGAGGGATTCCGTGGTCGGTTTCGCATGGTGGGAATTATTAAAAGAGTATTATCCAGACCGAAACGGAGACATGTTGCTACCTGCTCTAGAACTACCTCCAGAGTTGCTCGACTTGGGTCAGCGATGGCACGTAGTAGGGAGGTCCCAGAGCGCTTCCAACTTGTGAGGACTTTTCTCGAGCTCGACGCTGGACCGCCTTTCGGGAGCCACTGATAAGATGGGTCGTCGAGCTCGGAATAGATTTAGAGCTACCGAGACTTCTCAGCTAGAAGCATCCATTTGCTTCGGCGTACAAATTCGTACGTAGAGTTGGTGCTGGAGATCTGGGCTGACTGGAGGCGAATGCAGCGCCGAGGGCGGTCGCTGATTCCCCACTCCCACTTGGACGCACCTCTCGTCCGACCCGAGTCCTTGGAATAGGATGGACGGACTGCACTGCTCTGCTGGCTGGCGTCGATCTGGTTGGCCGAGTTCGAATGCGTGACTCGGTGACGCTGACCGGACAATGTGCCCCACAGTTGGCACCGGACCGCAGCGACCATCGGCAATCTCTCGGTCCCTCGGGGCCAGTCCGCTACAAGACAAACTCCTGTAGCGGACGTCGTACTTTCCTGCTAAACTGGGGAGGAGCCACTTCTACATCCAAACGACGGGGATCACCGGATCCTGCAGTACAGTGATGAAACCAAATTGCTATGATCAAGCATCATACACACGACCATGTCTTATCGCACCTTATATGCCCGAACTGTCTGCACCAAACACTGTACATGTTAAATATCACCTGATATGATTGCCATCATGAGGATTGCTCGTTGATCTAAATTAGCATAGTTTTAAAGTTTAATAGATTGTGATAATAGTGATAGTATTTCTTTTCATGATTATTATGGTAAGCTCTTGGAATTGTAATGGTGCAGGCCAGAATCTAAAATTGTTTATGAACCAAGTCCAAAGCTAGGTGAAAAAATGGCGGAGAACATTTGCTCGGAGTAGTTAAGTATTATTGCTCCACTTGTCACCATACATGAGGATGAGGATGGATAATCGTACTAATCAACCCAGTTTAAATTATAGGATTTACAATTATAAAAAGAGTGTAACAGTAATAAGATGTTGTTGATCTGATTGTAAATATTTCATAACCCCATGCTATTGCCTGTGATATCAACTCTCCCTCCAGTTTAGGTTTACACACTCTTCTGTACTAGCAAAGTCCTCACTCTTAATGGTAGGTATCATGGGGGTTTAGACTTATTGTGTATAGTTTTCAAATCTACAATGAGTCATGTAGATCCCAATACATTGAAAATAATGCGACGCTGCCTTGTGAAAACTAAAATGTACATAGATATATCAAGCTAAATTGGAACCGTATTGTCGCAAAGCAGGTAATTTTTGATAGTCGGAAAGCTCCTTTGCATGATCAAGTTAAGATCCACCTGCTTGAATCTTGCTACAGCAAGAACGTAGATGTAACTTGGTAATCAAAGATATTGAATCCGGCAAAACTGAAGAACTTTTTTATAAACTACAAATCTGTTATATAAACTATACGCTCCTACTTGGATCGAGGAATAAAAAGGGAGAGGACAAGATATCTCGTCATGACTCCAAGCACAAAGTATGTCTCATATGCCGCAATAATAATTGCATGAGAAACTAGACCCACATCAAATGCATATATTCACAAGATGATTCTATTAGAAGGCATATTCCAGGAGGATATTAAAGTCGTGGAAAATAGTCACCTACCGAATTATAAATGGGAGCATACCGTTACACACTGGCTCGTCGAAGATAATTGTTTTAAGCTCAATTTACTAAATAAACATTGAGACTTGTTTATTTTAGAACCGAATTTACCGTCATTTGTTCCAATCTACAAAATACGAAGGGAAATATAGGCGAGCGAAAGTTAAACATTTGTATGTAACCTCTTCAAAGGAGTCGCGAATTTATTCGTCAGGACACGGAAGAGGGAGAGACGGAGGAAGAGATGCACCGCCCTACAAAAAGCGGATTTCGACGACAGCCCAGAGTCTAGAGAGGAATGGGGAATCGGGAACATGAGGGACTGAATTTAGGGCAAGGCTGCGGAGGCCGCGATGACGGGACGAGGAGAGATTCCGGATCGGGAAGGGCCCGTTGAAGTGTCGAGCGAGATTGGCCTTGGCCGCATTCTGCCGGGCCAGATGGGCACGAAGGGGACTGTCGACGGAGGCCGACGGTGGAGCAGTCGGGGCGATGATTCCACGGCGAAGAGCCGAGGAGGAGGACGAGGAGGAGGGCGAGGGCGAGGCTAATGTAGCCCGCCTTGCGGCCGCTGGCTGCTGAAGATTGACCGATCTCGAGCGAGGGTGTGGACCCACGACGTGGTGCTCAGGATGCGATGATTGATGGTGGACGAGCGGACGGTTCGCCCAGGGAACCGACCACAGTGTCGTCGAGATGTGCGAGGTGACATCTGCTCGCGCACCCTTTTGCTTCTCTTGCCGGGCGTGCTCTCGCTGCGGGAGGGTCCCATCAATCCTCTTGCAGGCGAGGCCGCAAAAGGTTCCCATCATCATTATCATCGCCATGTCGCTGTTCCTTCCACCGAGTTCTCCAGCAGATTTTATTCAAGTCCATTCACTCCACCGAGTCGCATCGTCTCACGCATGAGGCATGGCTTCCGTCAGCGAGTCCTAGTACATCACCTGTGCCTGTGCCCTTCCCTCACCACCATGGGGCCCCCAAGGCTTCGCTCGTGGCCCCTCAATCCAGTCGCGCATTGCGACCTTGAATTCATCCATTCGGCATCCAGAGCTAGCCGCCCATCGGCTCCGAGGGCTGACCGATTTGCACTCCCAAAAAGAGCATATACGCCATCAGCCCCAGGTCGGCCCCTGGAGTCACATTGTACCTCTTGTACCAAATTTCTTCCGCTTGTTGGCTTGCGTCTTTGCGCCACCGAGTTGCTTCGTAGCATGGCCTTGCTGTTCAGCTCCTCCATTCGTTGAAAGGGCGCCTAGTGCTCATCCGCTGACGATCCCTTGCGAATGATTCGTGACAAAAGGGGAATCCGGCCTAGAAAATGCTTATATCGGGCCCCAAATTCCCAATCCATGTGCGAAGCACTCGTCAGGGGATCATGAGCCACCTCTTGCTCGCTTGCGCTCTGGGGACACATCATCATCGCCTCCACTTTCCTGATGAGGAAGTCCGAGAGTCTGCACCGCGAGGAATTGGACTCACCCCTGTCGCCCTACAGTCTCAACAGTCTCTGTAGGCGTTCTGAGGAATCAGTTCCCATGGCATAATTCGAGTATCGGGATTTAATAAACTCTGCCCTACTGCCCCTGCGAGTTTCCAATTCGTTCTCGCGAGCCTTCCTTATCGGCCGCTTGCAGCACCCAAGTGTGTCCGGGTCCGTGAAATTAACCGCGCTCGGAGTGCGAGCTTTCGACTCCTCCACTCACAACCTGAGCGTCAGAAGCTTCACATCCTGCAGACCTCACGAGACGACTCGGATGACAGTTTCTACGAGGAGAGTCCGACCAATCGGTAAGGCCTTCGAGGGCCACTTCAACATCTTCAGATTCAGAAAATGTTCGGGGATCCTCCTCAGAACACGAGCCTTATTCAAATTGCAATCCTTGGAATTCGTAAGAGAACTCGGACATGGCAAGAACACATGCGGCGATCGGTCCAGACTCGAGATCGTCATTGGGGGGACAACCAGCATTCGATTAACGCAAAGCGTGAGACGACTGAGATTCAAGATTCCGGATCACAGTGAATAATCTGAGACAGGATAACCACGGGGGTTACGGTCCCCACCCACCGCAACCCAACCCCAAGTTTCGAACGCGTCAGAAACTCGGTTGGAAAGCAGCTCGTGCACCATATTCTGGGCACCGGGCAAGCATTTGCATATTTTAGTCCCGGTGTCTGTCGGCTTGCGGCACTGCACAGCACGACCGCTAATTCCAACCACAGCTGTGCTTACAAGGAGGCCAGGCCAGCGCCTCGCCCTCGCCTTTGCCCTGCTGCCATTGAATGTGGTCCCCCGGAAGTGGAAACAGTGCCACGGACACTTTCCGGGAGAGCGACGAGCCCTAATGGAAAGCAAGTCCCGGCGAGTAGCGCACGGCCGCTGCTGCTGCTGCTGCTCTAGACTCCGAGCTCGCTGCCAAAAGGAGGCCAGCAGCATCGACGATCCGCGAGCCTCGGAGCCCAGTGGACGGCCGTCGTGGCTCCAGGCCCGGGATTGTCTCAGGACAAATCGAGAGGCATTACGGCGCCAAGAGCTTCTTTAATATTCGAAACGCACGGCGCTCAGTTGCCGCTTCTCTTACATGCCTTTTTCGCTTTGCCTCGCTTTGTTTCTCGGTCGGTGTTGGTGTTGTGTGCAGGTTCCGCAGGGTGCAGTTTGCGTTCACCGGACGAGCGGACGAGCGGAGTTAAAAGGCACGACTTTCGCCCTTCGCATCGCTGCGCAGAGTCTGGCCCTGCTGAACCACTTTCCATCATCCGTCGAGCACATCTCGTTCCGCCATAGATCCTACAGCGCTTTATTACATATCTCTCGGGCACATCTGTTTCCGCCAACCAACCATCGTCGGTCTTGTTGCCTTTCTCAGGTCATTTGTGCATCTTGTTTAGTCTCTGCTGACGATTTCTGTCACCCATGAACGTCGACGACTGTCGTTCTTTTCTTTTGGCGGTAAGAGCTGTAGGCTTTGGCACAACAGTTTGGTACATCATGTCTTCCTCGCCGAAACTTTTGCTGAGCCTATGTTTTCGGCAGCAGTACAGTCGACGAGACTGTTCTGCTGCATCCACACAAACTGCGTAGAATGTGCATTGTCCTTAGATGCAAGAGCTGGCGGTAGAACAACATCACGACGTCGTTATGGGTTTTGAAGAGAGACGAGAGACATCACGGCAGAATTGCGGTCAAAAGAATGAGAATTTCCACAAGGATACCGAGAAAGTAAGATAGTGCCGTCTTGCCATGGCATTCTTTACAGTCGGGAGAATCAGATCGGAATATTTGGCCCTGTGCCCAAGGGGTTGGTAGAAGGTTGCACATTCCAAGTTGAAGCAGATTCCGTTGTAGTCAAATCATGAAACGGACAACACAAGAAACAAATTGAAGACCGAAGGATGGAGAGTGGGGCCGAAGACCACACTCTTTACATAAAAACAAAGAGTATCATTAGCGTTCCCTTTAAATTGCAAAGTGCACAGTCTTATCTCACTCCAGCCTCATCCAAATAGAACAAAGTATAGACTAGCAAGAGCTTGTGGTCGGCGTATATGGTTCCAAGAGGGTGTATTCAGTTGAATAGGAACCCCAGAGCCAGATGGGGTTTGTTCAATGTCCCAGCCGAAGCGGTGAAGAAGCTGACAATTCCTCGTTGAGACTTCACACACTCGACTGGATCGAGTTCTGCTGCGTTATGGAGCAATTGCAGCTCCTTCCGAGATCTCTCTCCCATCTGGGCATCTGGAAAGAAGAAGAGTGCAAAGAAGCCCATTGGCAGAGGGATTCTTGTCACATAAACTTATTCCGGAGGCGGGCCACAATATTGACTTTACGATGAGTTGATCTTCTACTTATTTATGAAGAACCGCAATTATACCAGCTTTATAATTTTTCCTTAATTATTTGGGCAAGCGTGTTTTTCTCATACGTCGGCCTCTCGCATTTGTCTCGGCGTGCATGAATTTGCCCGTCTTCTTATAGTGAGTCGCACATGAACGTGGACCAGCTACAAACCATCTGGCGCTAGAGTGACCTTTGTTTGTTGGCGTTGCCCGCTGTCTTGGAAAAAAGTAAGTTCTGTGCAGTTTCAGAAAAAGAGTTTGACTCTTTTTTATTAAATTACGTTTGGTACATAAAGTCATAGATCCAAGTTCTGTGCAGTTTCAGGAAAAGAGTTTGAATACTTTTTATAAATTCACGTGAGGTACTGAAAGTTATCGACCCAGAATGTACTTCAGATAACAAGTTCCAAGGAGACATGCTATGCTATAATCCTTGCTCTTGGACACGTCTTCATCAAACGACATTCTCCAACCTGATGCCGAGACCATTTTTCGATTGTCGATTAACTATAGTCATGATCGTGCCCAAGATTGGCTGCTTTTGTTTTGAAGTCGTATGGCCTAAATTCCCCACAATTTTATGGCATGTAGAATCTATGTCTAGATTCTACATGCATTACCTAGTGAAATGACGATGCTTTTCTCGTGATGAATTTTCTAGTTGCAGGTCTTACAGATTATGCTGAGTTTGACAATTCATTTACGCTCGCGTGGGAAATGCCACATTTGCTACTCATGGGGTCATTCTGTTTGTAAGAAATTCATACACTCTCAAAACAAGTAGAGTTTGGCTAATCTAGATCCCCCCTCACGAGAATTGGGGGAGATCTAAATTAGCCGAACTTCTTTCAAAGAAGAGGGGAAGGAACTATATGATGTATTTTCTCCTTAACCAAGTATTTATGCCTCTAGCTTAAATTATACTTCAATTATTATATAGTAGACTTTAAGCTTGTGGAAAATCTATAGATATCTGAAAGATGTATTTAAATATTAAATCAGTATGCAGCCTTCTAGATTTCATTCTATTACACTATCGATTGGAAATAGAGATGAAGATGAGCTATAAATATAAGTGATACTTATACATAATGTTTGGATCGGATAAAATTTACTACAATGATATGAAAAACTGTGAGACAACATAACTTCCCGCTTTTGTCGTTGTGAAATTTAAAAAAAAACTTCTTCATACATAAGTAGTTTTTATAACTCATTGAAAACAAAAAAATTTCACTCTGTGTGATTTTCATTTGAAATTTTTAGAAAAATGTTAAAGGATAACAAAAATCCTTCTAGTTATATATCACTTAACAGCTAAAATGTTCTATTAGAACTGATAACATAAATAACTTATTTTGGATGATCACATGGTTTTCTAATGATAAATTTTGCAATTATTTTAATTTCAGCAGTAAAGAAACAAACCGAATCTGTCTTCTAAAGCTATTGTGTATAATTAAAGTGTTATCCGAGCATATCCGGATACCTAAATTAGTTCATGCTCGCACCCTTATGATTAATAGTTTCTTTTATTTATGTTATTAAATTATTTATGTTAATAGTTTCTATATTGCATTGTTGACTCTATGAACATTTTATCTTGTCACACATTTTATCTTATGTACACCGATCTTATCAGATCGGTGTACATATACATTTGCAAGTTTGTACAAGCAAAAAATAAATGGATATTATATCTTCCTATCATATATATTGTAATTATTTCAGTCTTCAACAGTTGCTCAATTGAGAGAAAATGAAGATTTTCTTCTTTGATACAGATGTGGAAATTCATATTATTTGAAAATTATAGAAATGGAAATTAGTGGACCGAAGTCGGTTTTGTGCTTATGATTGGCAAACATAATTGAAACGCGTGTGAAGTATTGTGTCGGAGGACTCTTCAGCTTTTTTTCTCCAAAGCGTAGATGATAAAAACATAACAAAAGCAGTGGAGCATGGGGCAGACCCCAAAAGGTCGTTCTAAAGAAACAAGACAAAGACGGTTATAGGATAATATCGAAAAGCTCGATGTCACAACTAACAGTCACATTGAAATTAGAAGCTTGGTCGGAAACCCAATAGTGCGTTGGTGCTATTCCCACACATGTCCGAGCAGCTGCATTTTCAATTTTCTGAGTGAATTGTTTCTTGGATGCTGCAAAAGTGTAGAAATCAACAAAGCCAGATGGTATATCAACAATCAACAAATCTCTAGTAACCGTCCGAAAAAAGTGAAACCGAGGGAGAAGAATATGCCTTGAAGGCGAGAAGAAGGGGCATAGAAGAGTTGCAAATGCGAATAAAGCATGCATCTGCCGAACTATATTCGGACAGACACTTGCGTTTCGTGGAGGAATGAAGGATGATACCCTGGGAATCTTGCAATGTTCGAGTGCTTCAGACATGCAGACCATAAGTCCTGCATGTCTGAAAACTCTACAACCGGAAAGCTCAGCCTACACCCAGCTCTACGAACATCCACCATTGGCATATGGGACCTACAGATGCAGAGCCACAAGTTTGAGCCATGGTGCATGCGTAGAGTTCAGCCTTTGGAGGAGAGAATTGCCTTTTAGAGGCTTGAAAGAAACATGGCTTGTCAAGTGCCCGTGTCGTTGGAGAAGATAAAACTGTAGTATGATACAAGCTGAGGATACGATCCATTGCAGGCATCGGTCAGGATCTGCGAAGGTATTGCACTGAACTAGTCCGTGATATCAGACAAGGGCAGAATCAAACCTCACACAAACATACATCGTTTCGGATGTCAACTGTTTCCAACAGGATCATACAGTAAGGAACAATAGAATTGATATGCTTGGGTGTTACGTTATACATCACATGGGAAGTCCTGAGAACCAAACTCCGCACGACAACTCATGCAGCGCTTTGCTTCACGATAAGCATGGTTTGTCACGAATGCATCATGTTGAGTAAAACTTCTTCATCGCTGACACATGCTTTGGTGACGTTTTAGAGGACGAGGAGCTGTGCACAAGCGGAATATATACACCAGTTACCACTTACGTGGAAATGACAAGTGTGGATAATGCCCGTCTTTTCGTCCATAACTAGACACCTGATTGCTCTTTAGAAAATGAATATGTGTATAAATCAGACAAAACGTTGTTCCTACTATGTGACCCATACATCGCAAAGAAGCAACCGGCTGATCCGAGCTTGCTTACTGGGTTATGGCAGAAATCGTAAGAGGATAGTGTGACGTAATTTCCCGCAGTATGAAGAAGTTGACTGTCGAAGACTCTAAGAGGTCGAATGCATGAAACATGTTCGACATATTCCAGTTGCATGTAAAGGGGCGGGCATATGATTGTGAATCACGTTCATGAATATGTCCCGTCTTAGTCACTTCTTGCTTCTTCAACAGTCGTATTGCATGCCCTCGTATTCATCCCACTGCAGAAGCCCGGACGGAGGCTTCGAGAACTTTCGTGAGTAGGAATGAGGCCCCGCCAAGTCCCTACGACGATGACCACCGTTGCCAACGGACCACTGCTCCATGAGTTACGTTTGGCAACATTAAAACTTTTCATTATTACTTATTCTCGATAGAGTGACCGCCAACGTTTGCAAAGAATACTCTGCAATATGATTTTCCCTCTCTTTGTATGAGCGCCAGTGGCACCTGTCAATGAGAACACCTCAAAAGAGTTGATGCGTCCGCCAACCCCACACTTGAAGGTAGATGACCTTGGCATATGTCGTCAACATATCTAAAAAGGAGTTGAAATCAAACAATTATAGTTTGGCAATCTATGTCATTATGACCAAAAATTGAATCTTTCAAAATTCTTTCATGTTTTTCATTCTTTCATTTTTTCTAAAATCACCTTTTACATAAACATTTTTTCCAAAAAGGATGAAATTTCCTGAATAACAGTGTTGATGACACTCAACATGAAATTCTTTTGAACTGAGTATCGATGCAACGAGAATATATATATATATATATATATATATATATATATATGCTTTTGAATTTGAAATATTTTTTTGCTTTGTCTCTCATATTTGTTTAAAATCATCAAACATATTGATTTGAGAAGATGACAACCAATATATATCTTTCTGATTTTTCTATCTCATCATTTGACCTGTAAGACTTATAACGAAGAATAACTATGAGTCATTTCACATGTAACAGCTTGGTTTTACATCAAAATTTTCTTCTTCCCTTCATCAACAAACACCATTCAATTACTGGATTTTATTGCTCGTAGTGCGTCTCTGAATGTACAATCTCGTAAAATAATTTTTTTTAATCAAGAGTACAATATGATGAAAGTTAGGCATGAATCATATTTTAGTTATAATCTTGATATAGAAATATTAAATACAATTCATTTTTATATTTTTAATGAAATTACATATTATTTTTTTGATTATAATGAATTATATCGTGATAAATCAATCTTTTTATTTTGAGAATCAAAATATGTTCAATATGTTCATCTTGTCACTTATTGAATTTCCATATTTTATACATTATTTAAATTTTCCCAAAAATATAATGTGAATTTATATGTTATATATGTATATATATATATATCAATTTAGATTTAGTAAAATAAGTGCAAACACTTCTTTTATTTCCAGACTCACGTATGTATATATATTTAACGAATGACGGTCTAACCGATTAGCAATTTTTCATCTTCATCAGCTCACTTTCAAGGGAAATAGTATGTTCTTCACACATCCATCATCCTGCAAGATCCTGTTTGATGATGATCCTGTTAGTTTTCTTTGCCTTTAGAACATAATGATTATTTCTTCTATCCCGATATATTTTGATGATTGATCGATTCTTTTAGAACAAATTTGTTGTGTGGTTCCCGTGAAATCTCTTCAAGACAATTGGACCGGAGGTACTATGGGCCGATTTTATTTTGTTTGGGCCGTAGTAAAATGTTGAAACATTGGTAGGGAGTTGTGGATACGATTTTCTCGGGGAAAACATGTGATAGCCGTTGAGGATATGCATATGGCTTGTTTTTCTCTAGAGAGTTATGTGCAAAACTTTTGATGTGATGTCTTCTGCTGAAAGTAGGTGAAGTTTAAAAAATCTGATATACATTGTGAGATCATAATTTCATATGAATAGGAAATATACTTTTTAGACAATACGTGACTCACGAAGGAATTCAAGACTGATGTGCCGTCGATCTATTTCACAAATTAGTTCTTTGTGTTATATTCTTTTCAATACATAGATACAATTTGTATGTTAGAACTAATTTTAACGTCGATCGCAGCCATCCCAGAAATGGTCCTTGGGGAAAGATTAGCAGGCAGGACTGAAATCGTGTTCGCTCTGCCCGCGCAGCTTCG